TTGCAAAAGTATCGTTTTAAAAAATTGTTAATTTGTCAATTTCACAGGATATCTTTCCGCTTTTCAAAAATTCAGTGTTTAAACGATATTTAGATTGATTAGCCAATTAAAAAAAGGTAAAATTGGAATTATTTTGAAAAAAAAAAATGAATGATGCCGGGATTGAACCCGGGCCGCCGGCGTGCCAGTCGAGCACGTTACCGCTAGGCAACGCGCTCATTGAAAAATATAAATTAATTAGTGGTATATATTCAATACATTAAATAATTTTTTCCATTGAAATTTCACAAGATGTGGTTTCCCCCTTCCGCACGTTCTTCAGTCGGCTAAATTGCAGTTAAACAATTAAAAAACAAAAAGCATTCATACCGCAGAAAATAAAATGCACCCGTCGACTCGATGGACAACCCAGCATTGCAATAAAAATTTGGTTAATAAAAAAAAAAACCCCAGCATTGCGTGTGGCGCCCTCCCTCTCTTGGGGTGCAATATTACGATGCCGCTGGGGTCACTCCAACCCCCAGAACTGAGCCTCTACGTTAGTCAATCCTCTTTGGCCAAGCCCTCTCTGCCTCTCAACAATTGCAGGATTGTTGGTTAGGAATAGTTAGTGGAACGCAGGCTGTTTCTCTGGATTATACTAAAAAAAAAAATTGATAAAAGGTGAGGTAAAAATCTCCAACATCTCTTTAATAATTCAATCCTAATGAAACGATCTCATTTTTCCTTTACTTGTTTATACAAATACTTTGAATGATATGCCATGTGTCGGGTTAGGCGTGTGCATTATCGTCCCATGCTCCAGCTCATGCATAGATAAACATATATCGACGTCAATTTTCATCATCCCAAATTAATAATTGAACCGAATAAAAGATTGGGAGTGGAATAATTAATTGGATTTATAATATTGTCAGTAATTGTGTCATTGAAATTTAATGTTTAATTTCTATAGTTAAATCAACATGAGTAAGTTTTTCACGACGGGAACGGATTCGGAATCCGATAGTTCATCCGAGGAAGAGCAAGTGCAAAGAGCACCTGCAGCTACTTATACCTTCAGTGATGAGGAGGAAGAGACGAAACGCATCGTTAGACCGACGAAAGTCAAACGTTACGAGGAGTTGACTAATCTGATTAAACTCATTCGTAATTACAAGAAGATCAAGGATATGAGCAGCATGCTGTCGTCGTTTGAAGATCTGCAAAGAGCTTATCAAAAAGCGATAACAGTGATAATGAAGGAGGAAGGGGGTCAGACCCCTCGGTTCTACCTGCGATGTCTCGTGGAGATGGAGGACTTCATAAACGAAGTCTGGGAGGATCGCGAGGGCCGGAAGAACATGTCGAAGAACAATTCTAAATCGCTGACGTCACTCCGCCAGAAGTTACGAAAATACAACAAAGATTTTGAGGAGGAGATTGCAAAATTCCGGGAGAATCCTGACCAGGAGGACGATGAGGAGGAGGAGAAACAAGAGGAATCAGCTGAGTCCGAGGAGGAGGACGTTGCGTCAATGTTCAAGAAGTCAGAGCCCGCAACAACAGCTGCACCAGATGCCTCGAAATTCAAGAAAACCCTCGCAGATGATGCCAGTGAGAGTGAGAGCGACTGGGGGAGTGATTCTGATAGCGACAGCTCCAGCAGCGACGATGAGGGACAGTACACGAATATTCGTGAGCGTTTTATCAAGAAGGCGACAGATAAAGACGAGGACGAGGACAAGGCGAAGCGCAAGGAGCAGAAGAAGGAACGAAAGGAGAAGGAGAGAAAGAAGAAGCGCGATGAGGACGATGGGGAGGGTGAGTGGGAGACGGTTAAAGGGGGTCTTGTCGTGCCCTCGGAGAAGCCCAAGATGTTTGCTAAAGATGCAGAGATTAATGTACCTGCTGTTATTAAGAAATTGTCTGAGGTCATTGCTGCTCGTGGAAAGAAAAGAACCGACAGGAGGGAACAGATTGAACTCCTCCACGAGCTCCAGTCCATCGCTGAGACTCATAATCTGGGGGCTGCTGTCGCTGTGAAGATAAAATTCTCCATCGTATCCTCGATTTTTGATTACAATCCCAAGGTCTCTGACGCCATGAAACCAGAGTACTGGACGAAACTCCTGGAGAGAATCACAGAAATGTTGGATATGCTGTTGGCAACACCTGATATGGTCATTGCTGAACACATCACTGAAGATTCGGAGGAGTTTGTTAATCAGCCTTACAAAATTCACGGCTGCGTTTTGACACTCGTCGAGAGACTCGACGAGGAGTTCACGAAATTGCTGAAAGAGTGTGATCCGCACAGTAATGAGTACGTGGAAAGATTGAAGGATGAGAAGCAAGTGGCTGGAATAATTGATAAAGTCCAGGAGTACTTGGAGCATCATGGTAGTAGCTCGGAATTGTGCAGAGTTTATCTGAGGAAAATTGAGCATCTTTATTACAAGTTTGATCCGGACGTGCTGAAGCAGAAGGCTAACGAAATTCCCAAAGACATTGTCACATCTGTCCAGGTTATGGAGAAACTGTGCAAATACGTTTATGCACATGATAGCACTGATCGTTTGAGGACTCGAGCTATTCTGTCTCATATTTATCATCACGCCCTCCACGACAATTGGTTCCAGGCGAGGGATTTGGTGCTGATGTCGCACTTGCAGGAGACGATCCAGCACTCCGATCCATCAACCCAGATTCTTTACAATCGAACGATTGCTCATCTAGGTCTCTGCGCTTTTCGCCATGCCAATATTAAAGACGCACACAATTGTCTGGTGGATCTAATGATGACAGGAAAGGTGAAGGAGCTTCTGGCACAGGGACTCCTCCCCCAAAGGCAGCACGAGAGGAGCAAAGAGCAGGAGAAGATCGAGAAGCAGAGACAAATGCCTTTCCACATGCATATCAATCTTGAACTCCTCGAGTGTGTTTATCTCGTCTCTGCGATGCTCATTGAGATCCCCTATATGGCTGCCCACGAGTTCGATGCCAGGAGGAGAATGATCTCCAAGACTTTTTACCAACAACTGCGATCCAGTGAACGTCAGTCCCTGGTTGGTCCACCTGAATCCATGAGGGAACACGTTGTTGCTGCTGCCAAAGCCATGCGCAATGGCAACTGGTCTGCCTGCAACAATTTCATCATCAATGAGAAGATGAATGCCAAGGTCTGGGATTTGTTCTATCAGGCTGACAAAGTTAGGGACATGCTGACGAGATTAATCAAGGAAGAGGCACTCAGGACTTATCTCTTCACGTATTCCCACGTTTATGATTCCATTTCTATGCCCACACTCGCTGAAATGTTCCAGTTGAAACGACCAGTTGTCCACTCGATAATCAGCAAGATGATTATTAATGAGGAACTCATGGCTTCACTCGATGATCCATCGGAGACTGTTGTCATGCATCGCAGTGAACCCAGTCGTTTGCAGTCCCTGGCTCTTCAATTGACTGACAAAGTTAATAACTTTGTTGATTCTAATGAGAGAATCTTCGAGATGAAACAAGGTAATTTCTTCTCGCGAGGTGGAAATCAAGGAAACTTCCGCGACCGTCAGAATTACAACCGACAGGGACAGGACTGGGGTCGACAGAGACGAGATCGTGATCGTAATCGTGAGGAGAACCGCAATTATTGAGAGGGATAACAGAAAGTAATTGTGGGAAAAGGAATAAGTGCATGACTTATTGGAGTGTTTAATACTCTGATAGGCAGAGCAGGTGGAAAAAAAATTGTCAATCTGTGTAAACAAATATTCCATAATTAATGTATTTCCATCAGTACTATATATTAAACAGTAGAAATTTTCTCTACAAATGGATTTGTGATTTTTAGTTCACACAAATATATTCTTAATTTTTTAAATTAATTTAGGCGTCTTGAATACTCTTGATCAATTTATTTCCGGACAATACACAATCCGAAATCATCACAAGTCGAATTCCCATTGATTTTTCGATTAATCGACATGCAGACACTTCTCCGTACGTTATCCCGCCGATTATACAAATTATAAATGTTTTTGGTTGCACCACAGCCCGGGGACAGTTTACTTTGCACTCTGGGAGGCTAATCATCTCCTCGAAACTTTTGGGATCCGTGGAATGGGCTAAAGTAACATTCAAAAATTGTGCCTAAAAGAAAAAAAGAGTAAAAATTTATTAAGTACAATCAAGGAAAGTAATTAATACTGACTATTGCTGGTATGTAAGCTCCACTGAACACGTAACTAGGGCAAACAGCTTTCGTTTCACTCCGTTTACTCTGATTAGGCAAAAGTTTCATTTTTTGGGCATTAACAGACCACTCCCTGCTCCAGGTCGGCAGCTTTCTAAGTAAATTCTCCTTTCGATACCTCAAAAGACCGGTCGTTTCCAATTTATGGAAGAGAGGAATATTCTCATAGCCATGGGCATGCAAATAGGACTTCTGAATACTCTGGAAATCATTAGGCGTTACGCCATCACCCGTAATAGACATTAAACATAACAATCTCAAACTTCTCATTGGATTATCATCAATATTTCTCTCAATGTAATCCAGACACTCTTTTCTACGGTTTGACTCGAGAATTGCCTTCTCCGTGCTTTGTAGGGCCTCAAAGTCGGATCCGAGAGCTCCAATGATGGCCTCGCAGCCGGAAATATGTGTAGCCAGCTGTTTTTTCATTTCGGTTGTTTTCTGCAGCTTTGTAGCAACGTATCGCCCCATGTCACCGAGTTTCATACTCTTCGTTGCTTCTTGTTCTGCCTTCAGGGACTTCGCCATGGCTCGCAGTTTGGGAAATACATCGCTGAAATGTATGTCTCGAATATCTTCGTACACTTCATCCCTTTTTGGATCTAGTTTCATGGCAATATTGTCCACAACTGCTGTTGATACATTGATCGATATAACTTCGCTCAAAAGTCCCAGGTAAGATACTGGTGTCAGTAGTGTCGAGACAAAGTCGTAACTTCTGTCCATTATTATCAAACCACCTACCTCACTTTCCGATGCTGCTGATCTCATACTTTCTTTCATAGTTTCCATCATTTTTAAGAGTTGATCGCTGTATTTACCGAATGTCAGGGTTAATTTTGCCCAGCCGAGGACCATTTGCAGGGACCAGAGACTCCGGGCTAGGGCTGGGAGGAGACCACTGTCCCGGTGGTAATATAATTCTGGGAACATCGGGGTCTCCAGGGATAAAACGTTTCCATCTATTTGAATTGGCTCCCAAGATAGAGCAAGGATCTTCACCAGGTTCGCCAGGCCTTTCAACAATTGATGGAACTATATTATTAAAAAATAAATGACGTGCAAAATTTGACAGGTCAGCCTGGATGTTATACCTTCTTCCTCTATCAACGAATGAACGACTGCAGGAACTCTTGGTGTCACTAGTATATGAAATGACAATCCCTGGGCCTGGGAGATTTCCGATTGTATCTGATCCAGCACTCGTTTGCAAGATATCAGGTCGCAGGATGTCAAAAAAATTCTCTGTGTATTCGTTGGCTTCAGACCTGGTTCCAATTTGAATATCTTATCCACTCCATGTCGCCTAAATATTCCAGATTGTTATTTCCATTCAATGGATTTACTACTCATGCATCCTGTCTATTCAATCGTTAAATTACTTGAGTACTGTGGCCCCAATGAACGAGTCCAGGGGCTTCATCAATTTTTGCTCGATTATCAGATCTTTTTTTCCTGAGATTGATCCTAACACTTCCACGAATTTCCTTTGGCTTATTTGTTGTAAGGCACTTAATCGGTCGTCGAATGTGATGTCCATTTTTAATGTTTAGGGAATCTGTGAAAAATTATTGAAAAATTAATTAAGGAGTATTAAGGAGTATTTTACTGGAATTAACCTCAGGGCGAACCACTTGTGTTGGGATCATTTCAGATTTATGGAGATAATATCAAGGACGGGAGGTTGATGTTAATTCGGATAGTGCTGTCAATGTTTTTTTGCAGTTACGTTTTTTTTATCGTTGTCATTGACAGGATGACGCCATAACCTCGTTATGATACGGGAAGGAAAAATCATTGGCTGCCATTTTTCAATTCTCGAATCGCCTCTATTTTCGAGTCGATAAATCGGACATGCTCTAGGGCTGGAGCTACAAACCAGTAAAATGCCCCTCTTGCCAGCTGTTTTCTCGTGATTCTCCTTATAGTTATAAACAAATAATTCATAATCAATTTATCTCGCGAGTGAATCAATTACTCATCATCACGCAAGTGGGAAAATCCTGGTAATTCAATCCTGGAAGGATGAGACTTCATTTTCTTCGTCGGATGGTTTCACTTTCGTAGAGAAAATTTTGTAGAGAAAGTGCATTGGTCCTTCAATTGATGACAACGATGACAATTCTCGAATTAAAAATAATATAAAATGTAAGTTGAGGAATGTGTGGTTATATTGGGTGTCGCAGGCACGAATTGCAAAGTGAAATTTTATTTATTGAATATCTGTGGATTATTTTTCAAGCAAAATTTATCGCTTGCTAAATTCCTAAAGAAAACGTGTGCAAATGATTCAAATTATTTCTGGAATTTTTCACCGTGATTTTTTAATGCAGAAATAATGAATAAAAAGTCACTGGTGTACACTTCGAGGGAATCATTACCTGTTGATGTTTTTTTTTGTGTACAAAACCACTGAAATGATAATGGGATATCAGTATGTTCACTTTATGATCTTTCTAGAGACGATGGAGGTTCGGTACTTGGCAAGTAATTTACAAGAGCCGTCGAACAATGAATTACAAAAGGAGAAGCTCATCAATGAAACTGGTGTGTAAATAATTCCATTATTTTATCCATTCGCAAGCCATGAAATTAATTTTCTTCTCTCATTTTCAGGGAATAAGATACAAGTTAGAAAGTCTCCAGTACGAAGGTAATTCTTTAAAAAGTCAATTGCACACGAATTTAAGAGATTGATTCAAAGTTTCTACGGAGACAATTCGGACTATAATCGTCGCCGATGAATTTCCCGACAAAAATTTTAAAGTAGAAAACAAATTCACAATTTAGGCAAATGAATTATCGGTGCGATTACGATGTTTGTATTGAGTGTTCAGTAGTACCATCAGTGTTATCGCTTTGTTCATTATTTTTACAAGTATGTAATGCATACTCGCCTCGTGACGTGAAGCAAGTCGTACAGTAAGTGCTGCTGTCCATTTCCTTTTTCAGTTATAATTGAGTCATTCAATCATATCGGTGCTCCTGGGTACCACGGAAATTTTCATTCGAATTAAATAAAAGACCTGGAAGATACTCTAAAGAAAACTATTTCCATAAATATTTGGATTTCACTCAAGTGTCCGATTTAAATTGAGTGCACTGCACCAGTTGTCAAGAGGTAAACAATAACACGCCGATATTTTGGTGAATATCCCCGGACCTCTGGGAGATAGCAGAATTGCTTGTAGGACCTCTTTTGCGTGGTGTAATGAGAGCTACAAAACGGTCCTCACAAAATTCTCGCTATCTCTCTCAGATCAAGAGATATTCGATTTGTTATTCTCACCTCTTAAATTGACACTCCAGAGATTATGAAAGATAGAATTTTCGGAAGCGTCTGGCGATACAAAGCTTTATCGAATATCATAACCGGGTGAGTTTCTCCAGCATGATAATTGAAAAAAATATTTATTTAAAGAATAATAAATCACTCGACATAAATTGCAAGTCTGTGATAACAATTTTAATCCCCGGATTTTCACTGCAGTCACGAGTTTATTTATCAATATTATTTCGAATGCGAATTATCTTTTGTATTTTGAAAATGTGGAAAGAACCATTTACTCCCACTTCTGGAAACCACGAGACGGGAAAGAGTCGAGTGAATAATTGGAGCACGCGTTGCTGCCTTTCCCTCTCAAGACTTTGCGTTAGTCTTCGAATCTCATACGTACAATCATGTGCTCTTAAATAACGTGTGATTCTCGTCAAATAATGACTGCAAATGCCTCTGTGCACTTATTCCCTACGAAATTAACGAACCGGGGTTTTTCCTGGATCGGAAAACTCGGGAAATTCCCTGGGAGAAGTGTCCAGTGTCCGCTCAATTCCGAAGATGAGCGATTGCTCTGGTCAGTGCTTTAGTTTTTAACATCTAAATAATATTGGAGCATTCAATGGCATTCCAATTTCGTTTCGTTCATGGCGCCTGACTTTCTAATTAAAAACCTTGAATTACGTAAAGAAAGTGCCCTACACGATAATAGTCTGTAATAATTAATTCCCAGAGAAATCACTTCCTGCAATATTCCTGAATAATTGATACTCAATTATCAACCCATATTCGTATAAAACATATTTTCCTCGAGAACGTGAGTCCGTGCTCATTATATATCCAAATGAAAGTAGAAATCCGTGGGGAAAATCTGGAACTCTATTTCGACCTTCACTTTGCAGTGAATTCCTCGGAATTCACGCCGGCTATAAAAATTTTTATCAGAACCTTTTTTGTGGTCCTGAATCCTCGCTACAAGAAAGGCTCTCACAAGAATTTCTCTATCTTCCTCAGATCCCGAGAAATTCGCGGGAAACTCTCCTCCTATCTAAATCGCTTTGTTGATCTTCTCCTGGAATGAATGCAAATTATTCCTCGCGTTGTCACAACTTCTGCTCGTTCGTCGGTTAAAATTCTCCGAACGATCGCCTGAATATTCTCAATAATGCAAAAATATTAGCATTGCATTAACATCCGGCTTCCGATTGCAGGTGATGATCAAACATTCGATCTAGTTTCACAGTGCGCGCACAATCGGAAATTAACGGCTATTATCGAAGCGTCACTTAGATGTTAATGGAAATATTTAAAAAAAAATCAATGGATGCACACCGCCAGTACAAACGTGCCGTGGGCAAAAGTTAATGCTCCCCATTTAAAATCAAAGATAACCAATGACTTATCAGTTTAACGGTCGAAGCGTTAGATTATCCTCGTGTGTGACCATCACCTCGAAATTCCCTTGCTGAAAACGTATCACGTAGAAACAATTACTACTAAAAAAAATATTATACAGAATTTAATTTATTTTAACACGTGTTATTTTTGATTGGAAATTAATTTGATTCGCGATATCTTCTTGAAAAATTATAAGACGCGGAGTTTTTGATTTTTTTTTTAAGTTCGATGAGTTTAGATCATTGCCATGACTAAAAGCGAAGACAGAAAGCCTCTGATTCAAAAGAATCACGGCTCTGTTAATATTACTTGGTGAGGCCAATTACATATGATCAAATCAATTAGTTCGACGATGGAATTCAATGCCATTGACTTCTAGATTGTTCTTGATAATTTTTTAATATCTTCTCTAAATAATTACAAACTTCGCGAAAATTGTACAAAAAATCAACTGAGATTATCGCAGGAAAAATACAATTTGAGATAAATCTCTCGATTTATCGTAGGGATGGGGACGATGACGTGGATTTCGAGAGGACGACCCACATGGTGCAGGTGCCGAGGGCCGCGGAGTCCTCAGGCGATGATTATTCAACCGTAAAAATGAGAATTATCGGGATGAGTTGTCAGAGTTGCGTCAACAACATTGAGAGGACAATCGGTGCTCATCGGGGTGTGAAAAATATAAAAGTAATTCTTTCCGAAAAGACTGGTTATGCAGACTACGATCCAAAGGAAACATCTGCGAATGAGCTGATAGCAGCGGTCAACGAGATGGGTTTCGAAGCTTCCCCAGAGAATTCAGAAAAAAGCAATGGCCTGGGGCCACAGTCTGGCACTTGCGTCATTCACATCGACGGGATGACATGTCAGTCTTGCGTTAAAGGTATCACCGACGTGATATCGGGAAAACCAGGTGTCAAGGAGATCGACGTCTCCCTCAGCGAGAAAGAGGCGAAAGTTCGTTACAGTGACGCAGTACCAGATGAAATAGCATTTTCTATCGAAGCAATGGGCTTCGATGCATTTGTCAAAGAGATTAACGGCCACCCAGTGTCTTCCGAGCCCTTGAAATCGAAGAGTCCACCAGAGGCACCAGAAGTACTGACCAATGGACGAATTTCTGATGTGCCAAACCTGAAGGAAGAAATTTCCAAGTGCTTCCTACAGATCAAGGGCATGACTTGTGCTTCCTGTGTTGCTGCCATTGAAAAACACTGCAGAAAAATCTACGGTGTCGATGGCATTCTCGTTGCCCTGATGGCTGCCAAGGCAGAAGTTAAGTATTATCCCAGCAAAATTCGACCCCTCGATATCGCTTCCAGCATCACAGAACTCGGATTTCCCACAGCAGTTATTGACGAGCCAGGAACTGGTGAAGCTGAAGTGGAACTCCAGATTTCTGGAATGACTTGTGCATCGTGTGTTAATAAAATTGAATCGACTGTCGCAAAAATACCTGGTGTCAAGTCAGCTGTTGTTGCATTGGCAACGCAGCGTGGAAAATTTCGATTTGATGCTGCTGAAACTGGTGTGCGTGATATAATAGAGAGAATTAATAAAATCGGTTTCACAGCTAGTTTATTTAACAATAAAGAGAAGGACAGTAGAGATTATCTCAATCAACAGGAGGAAATTAGAAAGTGGAGGTCAGCATTTCTGATATCACTGGTGTTTGGTGTTCCCAGTATGATCATAATGACGTACTTTATGATGATGATGTCGATTGAGAAGAAGAGTCATGCGGACATGTGCTGCATTATTCCTGGATTGTCCTGGGAGAATTTACTGTTGTTTATTTTTTCAACACCCGTTCAATTCTTCGGTGGATGGCATTTTTATGTTCAAGCATATCGTGCTCTCAAGCACGGCACGACTAATATGGACGTTCTCATCTCCATGACAACGACGATATCGTACGTTTATTCTCTATGCGTGCTGATTGCAGCGATGATAATGCAAGAGCACATGAGTCCGACGACGTTCTTCGACACTCCCCCAATGCTGTTGGTATTTATCAGCCTAGGAAGATGGCTGGAGCACGTGGCGAAGGGAAAAACGTCCGAAGCTCTCTCAAAATTACTCTCCCTAAACGCTGTTGATGCTGTCCTCGTTACTCTGGGCTCCAACAACGAAATCCTATCAGAGAGACTGATTAGTTTGGACCTGGTCCAGCGTGGGGATATCCTCAAAGTCGTCCAGGGCTCGAAGGTCCCGGTGGATGGACGAGTTTTATCAGGACAATCCGCCTGCGACGAGAGTCTCATAACTGGTGAAAGTATGCCAGTCCCCAAAAAACCTGGGTCTGTCGTTATTGGAGGATCCATCAATCAGAATGGTCCACTTCTGATGACTGCAACGCACACTGGAGAGCACACGACATTGGCACAAATAGTGAGACTCGTGGAGGAGGCACAAACCAGCAAAGCACCCATTCAACAATTAGCTGATAAAGTTGCTGGGTATTTTATTCCACTTGTCATTACAGTTTCTGCAGTGACTCTGACGATATGGACGATCGTTGGATACGTTAATATTCAGCATCTGCCTGCGGAGAGAGACGGCATTGGGAGAAATCGAGAGGAGATTATTTTCCAGTATGCATTTAGGTGTGCATTATCTGTACTTGCAATTGCATGTCCATGTGCTCTTGGTCTGGCAACACCAACTGCTGTGATGGTTGGTACTGGTGTTGGTGCACTCAATGGTATTTTAATAAAAGGTGCTGAGTCACTCGAGAATGCACATAAAGTCAAGTGCATTGTCTTTGATAAAACTGGAACTCTCACACATGGAACACCTGTTGTCAGTAGAATTGCAATGTTTGTTAATGAGAGGGTGTGTTCGATTGGAAAATTACTGGCTATTGTGGGCACTGCTGAGGTGAGCAGTGAGCATCCAATAGCATCAGCTATCGTCAGATTTGTTAAGGAAAGTATTGGCACTGAGGCCAGTGGTAGGTGCAGTAATTTCCAGGCTGTCGCTGGTTGTGGCCTCAAGTGTCGTGTGACACATTTGGATTCTGTCCTGTCTCTTGTTAATAAATCTAATGCTATATTGAATTATCGGAATCAGGCTGGCAGTGCTAACGAATCTGGCAGTACTCTTAATAATGTACCAATTGATGTACTATTAATTGGTAATAACGACGTGAGTAAACAGGACTTGCAGTATCAGCTGCTTCTGGATCCTGAAACAGCTGGAGATCAGGAAAACCACGTGATTTATGACGTGTGCATTGGAAATCGTGAGTGGATGAGAAGAAATGCTGTTGATATACCTCGACAGGTGGAGGAGAAAATGCTCGAGCAGGAGGAGATTGGGTGCACAGCTATTCTTGTGGCTATCAATGGGGTTTTAATAGCCAATATTAATGTTGCTGATACGGTGAAGCCTGAGGCACATCTCGCTGTCTATACTTTAAAGAAAATGGGGCTGGAGGTGGTGCTGTTGACTGGGGATAACAGGAAAACTGCCGCTTGTGTCGCCAGACAAGTGGGTATTAATAAAGTTTTTGCTGAAGTCCTACCATCCCACAAGGTCGCCAAAATTCGGAGACTGCAGGAGCAAGGATTTAGAGTTGCTATGGTTGGGGATGGAGTGAATGACAGTCCTGCTTTGGCGCAGGCTGACGTGGGAATTGCTATTGCCTCTGGAACTGATGTCGCTGTGGAAGCTGCTGATGTTGTTCTCATGAAAAATGATCTGCTGGATGTTGTTGGGTGCTTGGATCTTTCCAGGAAGACTGTATTCAGAATTCGACTCAATTTCTTATTTGCTAGTGTTTATAATTTACTTGGCATTCCAATAGCAGCTGGACTTTTCAGCCCTTTCGGATTCTTCCTCGAACCCTGGATGTCCTCTGCTGCCATGGCCATGAGCTCAGTATCTGTCGTCGCCAGCTCATTGATGCTCAAATTGTGAGAATATTTTAAATTAAAAATAATCGGCAAAATCGTGGGAACTTTTTTAATAATTTGTCTGTAAATTCTTTCAGATATCGTAAACCAACGAGATCACTTCTGGAAACTCCAGAGTACTTTGCTGCACTGAAAGCAGAATCTGCTCATGATCATGGTGCAATAAACCCACACGTGGGGGTCGATGAATCATTTAGTCTACCCCTCCGCACAGCCTCGACACTATCCAGGTTTTTTTTTTAATTAAATTTCTAGAACTCGAGTAGCCATTTAAGTCTGCTTCTCTCATTTTTTCTGTATTTATCATTCTATCTGGGTCATTTAATCGGTTTCTTGTCTCTCAACACTTTATTTACCCCTCATCAGTTCTTCTTTTTGATATTTATTTCAGGCATGTGTATATAATCGCTGTTTTATTTATTTAATTATCCAATAGGCCACTTAATGTAGAAGAACAAGGAAATGAGCTAAGTCTGAATGCATGAGTCGTAGGTCTCTCGACGGTTAGTATAGAGTGATTGAGTGATTAATCGCTACATCAACTAACTCCTTTGTAATTAACTTGCTTATGACTGCTCTATTAATTTTTTTTCTCATCAACACTCTCTAAAATTTCTTTAACCACTAATAACAATGGATTTGGGTTTATCGAAATTATTTAGGTTGATTATTTTTTAAACAATTATTTATTCGTTTAGGCTATTTGGGAGGACGAAGGAAGAGGTCGAAGGACTTCTTCTCGATGAGGAGTCGACTGGATTCAATGTCGATTTTTCCAGGCACAAAAGTGAATTAACTCGTGACAATATTGTGTCATAACGCGCAAAGGTCCAATCACTCCAGGAGGTGACGAACTTTTTTTTTCTTCTGCCAGATTTACGAATGCATACGTTTTTGTTCGTACTTAATGCATTTTTATATTGAAATGTGAGAGAATATTTATCCGAAGTTGCTAATACTCCGAGAGTAAGACGAATTTTGTATTTAATTTAGATCAGTACGAGTTTTGTAAATTGTTAAAAGAAACTAATTTGATATTCATGTATGTGAAGAATGTAAATATATGAGACAAATGATGAAAATATCAAATGGGTCGAATCTAATAAAAATTGGTGTTCACAATTTCTTCATGTATAATTATTTATAATTTGCGTATCAAAAGGAGAATAATTGAATTTATGAAAGGAATAATTTGTTCTATCAGATTTATTTGTTTATTGAACATAAAATATTAATTGAATAAAAAAAATTATCTCAGTAGCAGGAGCATGCAAATATCGGCCTTTGAGGCACTTAAAATTACTCTAAAAAATCATAACTTCTCACTCTCATTCGTACCTTTTCGATAAACCTATTTTTAACAATTTGTTCTTGGAGATTGAGAGATTGACCCACAATATTATCAATCCCATCACTGATAGCAATTCAGGCACTCGACGTGTTCATCTCCTTCATATCTACAAAACGTGGAGAAAACAACGGATCACAAACTCTCAGACTATTCAAGACACTGGGAATCGAAAATCAATGCCAATAACTTACATTGTGAAACTGCATTTTGAGCAGAATTGTTCCAAGCATTTGGTGCATTGATTTAGACAATAGGGGCAATAGAATTCGATGCAGTGAAAGCACCGATTCAGTTCAAATACTCTCAATTCTTTGCAACTGCTGCATGTTTGTTGTGCCTGAGGCTGAAACCACAAATAATACAATGAATTTTATTACGAGCGACTAAAAAAATTATAACAAAAGCTCGAAATCAATTGGTTGAGTTAAAAAATGAGATTGAATGATACCAAGATAATCTTTTTGCTCTGCTCAAGCCCCAATTTGTCATTCATGACCATTTGTTTGAGACGAGGAGGTTCAAAATGATATCCAGTGCTGGATCGATTCTGATGGTCTTCAGGTCCTTTTCCAATCGATTTCTGTGATCCATTTCTCAACAGCTGGAGTGTACGTTCTGCATTAAAAAATATATTCCTCATTCACTTGAAATAAACAATTTCTGTGGACATAACCTCCTCACCATAAATCTTCTTCATCTCCTCATTCCTCTGAGCATCATCTGTCGTCTCCTTGAGGCCAACGTGGACCTTCATCTGAGGGGTAAGATCACCATCGAAAGGACAAATACGTTTCGACGACATTCTCCTGATTGATCTGATCAATCGATTGTTTCAGGAATATTCTTGGGACAGGAGTGAATTTTCTAGTTCAGACAGGACGACAGGTTCAGACGCCAATTGAACTGTTGACGTTTGAACGCTAGTGTCGCATCACAGGTGAGAAAAAAAAATAAAGAAATAATAAAAAATCGAATAGATAATTTGAAATGAAAATGTGAACGTCACTTATTATTAATGCTGCATCATTATTATTATTTCGTTTTATACATATTTGATATTGGCCATCAAGAAATATGTTACAAGTTTTAATTTTTCCTCTTCGTCTTGCGATTTTACGATTGTTCCACTTGCAAGAATATGGTCAATATATAATATCAATAATGTAATAATCATAATATTAATAATCATAATCATAATAACCATCGGTAGCAATAAGTTAATGAGGAGAACTGTACAATTTTAGTTTAAGGATTAATCTTCCCCCCCCTCGCCACTTTACAACTTGTCAACATATTCAAGGATAATTAACTAAGCAATTAAATAATTAAAATGCACATGCGCAATACCAAGGGACTATTCAATCATCGATACAAATTCAATAACTATTCACGTTTGCGTTATTTATTTTATGTTCATTTGATTTCACTATTTGCGATTGTTTTTATAGTTACAAAAATTAGTGTTACAAAGCGCTTTTCAATTTTTATCTTTGAAATATCTTTTTAGTCATGGGGATACACGTCTATCCGAGCTTCGCTAAAAACGATGATATACTCAGAATTTTATTCTCTAATCGATCTAAGCAGGATTCATTGTTCCTTTACAAAAATTTTAATCGTCTCAATTAAATTTTTTTTTCATAGTATGAATGACGTTTTACTGAATCACATTACGCATATACACCATTGTCAATTGCCGATTCACCACATTCGCACGAAAAACCACGAGTTTTTCACTTCCACCGGAAAATAATTGTTTATTTTCTTCCATTTTTTTTTTATTCTTTCGCCTCATTTTCATCAATTTTATTTCCTTTTAAACTTATGTCTAATTGAGGGACGGGGACGGTGGCCATTCCATGGACAACCATCGCTTGAGAAAATTCTTCAATTAAAAAAAAACAAATACGAGTTAATGAAAAATTCCAGTAATTACACAATTAATATTGCGCTTCATCCGTTTAAAACCGGAGAAAATTGTTCCATCATCGTGAATCATAGATTCGAATGCTCCCAATGAGAGAAAATAATTTGACTATTACCGCGCGTGTGAGAGAAATTCCAGCGATTTCCTGGAGAAATTGAGAATTTTTACGGGAAACGCCGATTTTTTTTCCGCACGCGCGTTTCATTAATCTGGAAATTATTATTCGGAGAAGTCTCTTGTCAACCACAGTCGTTATTGTCAGTTGTCATGGACGTGTCACCAAAGATGCCTAACATACATATTCATTTATGACATGAAACTGCACCTGACGCAGCTTCCGAAATCTAATCACTCGATGTTTCAGATTCCATGGATTTCCATGAATTTCCATCGATTTCCGATTTCCCACACCAATTTCATGTAATTTACTTCACGTTCGCGAAAGATTTAAAAAAAATTCACGGGCCGAAATACAGAAAAGAAAAATCGGATTTTTTAAACGATTGAATGATCATTCGGGTAAATTAACATTTCGATCAACGAATAGGTGAATAAAATGAGCTGTTATATAATATAAAGGCGATAACGACTCTCCACTCGTCGATTAAGCTCCGCTCAGTGATAATTATCATATGTAATTGCCCAAAAACGATAAATAAAATGAAGCATTGCAACGAATCTCAGATTACGTTGACTACAAACTTTGACTAGCTAAAAATTGGATCGACCGGTCGAACGATCCACTCTTCAATTACGAATATTGTATATTATTTATACGAGATGCACGATAAGTTATTAAAAACATCGAGTAAGGAGATATATTACAATAGGCTCCAATACCTTACCGACAAAATTTCATGAAAAATTCATTTCTCACCCCTCAAATTCTTAAACAACGCGCCTCTCAACTGATTCCACTATTCTCTAATTCCTTCTACATAATGGGGGAGAAAACGCATTCTCGATACAATTATCAGGAGAAAATCTCTCCCCCTCAAGTCTTATCCCAGAAATAAATTCAATGATAAATGATATAACGAAACAAACGGTGAGGAAATTCAGAAAAAAATCAAAGAGATTTGAATTTTCTTCATTCTACGCACTTCCTGAATTTTTTCATTTCTGGAGTGGGAAAAAAATGTATTGAATAAATATACTACCTAAAATCCTTAATACGTTAACGTTTTCCCAAAATTCCCCCCAAATCGAATAAAATACCTTCCCCTGACGTGCCACCATATCAAAGTATAATTTTTATCAATAACTTTTATGATTCATCATCAATAAAAAACTAGCGTTAAGTATGGCCGGTAATTTCCATTTAAATAGTTTCTCCATTTTATTTTCAAATCTCGTAATTAGTTCAATTAATGAACATTGATAATTGTACGAATTATCGATTGACTAAATGGAAACAAACGAAACAAGTTAATGCTTGAAATACTATCGCGTATTTATCTGGACTATCTATTCAATTATTAAATAATGCTTTATATCATTCAGCTTTCTCAACGTCACGTACACTTGATTTTTCAAATTGGCAAAAGCCCTATCGATCAACAGCAATCGATTTGTCAAGGATGTCGCTAATTTAGTGTAGCATTTGATTCATTAGGAACGCACCTCCAACTAATTAAGAACTCTGTGAGCCAAAATCTATGCGCAGATACATTTTTTTTTAATCAAACAGATTTTTAATAAATCTTGATTTTAGCAATATAGGCGTACAGTGCGCAATGTTGACTACAGATTCTCTCCCTTACCCTTCCATTCACTACATCAAATTACTTTCGCATCACTTTTATCTATTTGTTCATCTATTTATTTACTTATTCATTTATATTGAATTAGAATAAAAAGTCGAGGCATTTAAATGATTCATTATTCGTTTCTGATACCACGAGCGCCATTTTTAAATGTTATCGAATGTAAAATCTATTCCGGTGTTCCATTGCACGCGCACATTATTGTGTATGAAACATATATATCATTAATCAGCCACGGGATATGTTTGTTGAGAAAATATATCTTCAATTTACGATTTTTTATCACATTAACATGAAAATCGTAATACTCGGCTATTCCTCCATTGCACATCCTGTCCCGACACATGTCCATTTTCATTCGCTCTCATTATTATTTTAGAATTAGCGTGACCCTATTAGAGCCCAGAGATATCATCTGCTATTCTTTTACTTATGAAAAAAAAAACACTTATGCAAACCCATTGAATAACTCACCAAAATCGGCGACTGCCATTCCAGATACTACCAAGACTTTCACAAAATTCCATGCGGAAATTCTGGTAGTATCATGCTATGTTGCTGCCACTCATCGTTGTTACACATTTTTTTTCTGGTGTGTTCTGACTTTCTGAATTGCTACGAACTGCCTTTGGTGGACTACCTGGGATTGAAGTTGAATCACCACTCATTTGATTATTGTTGTTAGTCGATGTTGAACTACGACGACCATTTTCGTGGGTTGGAGACTTGACGTCGAACGCTGAACTCTCGGATTCGAGGTCCGAGTCAATCTGCATGAGGAATGACAAAAAAAAAAATTTATTCCTCGTTGAAATTCCTGCTGTCAAATACCTCCAATTGCAGGATTGACTGGCAGACTATTTAATGGAGCCTCAACAGCCACTTATTTTAAAATGATAAAGAATTAGATGAAATGATGGATGACCTGATGGTGATACCTTATTGAAGCAAACTACCTGTCTGGTAGCAGGATGAGGATTGGAGAAAAGTCTCTCGCTGGTGTCACTGCCACAGCTTGAGCTCTCGCTCATTTCAGTGGCGAATTTTCTAGATGCCCTTGGGCTCGGTGGAGCTGCTCGGCTCTGAGATCCAAGAGCTAGACTTGCATTTCTCGAGCATACCTGAGACTGTATGTGTTCGCAGACCCTTCGAAATCGTCTGATATTGCCTAAAAATTCCAATCAGTGCAATATTATGCTCTTGCACTCGATTTATGATTACTTCGTTATAAATTTATGGAGCGCTGAAATTGTTTGGAGTTGATTATTTATTTCTTACCACTCAGAAGTGTAAAGGTAATTGCGAACAGAGGTTCACTGGAATGTTTGCCGATAGCACTGATGTCTACTTGAAATCTCACTTGTCTCTGGAACATTGCTGGTGCTGTACTTCCACGTTTATATTCGACTTTGAAAGACATCGGGGAACTCACGCTGTGAGACAACTCTGCTATCTGAAAAATTATATTAATATTAATATCATTGAGACCGTTTTTAATTGAATATTGCAGACTCACCGAGAGAAATGCGTGAATTAAATCGGCTTTCACACTAGCCAATGGCTTTCCCTTGACGAGAACTGTGAAGGTCTCGTCTTTTTCAGTTGCCATGAGACTACCGAACCAAGACTTCTTCGTTAACTCCGGAGAAGAGTCTGGTGTGAGATGAACCTACACAAAAAATTTTTAATAAAATTTCACCACTTTGTTTGACAAAAAAATTGTCTCCGAATGAATTACGATAATTGACCTCTTCGGTGCTAGTGAGCAGCTTGCGTCGATGAAACCTTGGACTACCGAGGAAGGAATTTTTAATAGTAGTTAGCCGCGATCGCCAATGATGGGCCCCCGAGCCTGCCCCAGTGTGAGGTGATCCGGGTGGTGTGACACCAACTAAAATCAAGAATTCTTCAAATTTCCGCAGAACTCTAACAAAACATCGGCAGTTGCCGCTGAAAATTTCCTCATCTAACACGTATACCGAAATTTTCATAATAACCTTTCTTGTAGTTATCAATTATCTCTACAAAAAAGCTCTTATCACACATTACGCTATCTCCTGTAGATGAGGAGATATTCCTGTAGTTAACTTCCTTCCAGCCCTTTGATCTGATTTTAATGATCGAATTGTGAGGGATTATTGAGTGAATGGAGTAGAATAATGGGAACATACTTGGTAGATTCTCATTGAATTCAATGCCAACACTGCTGAGAGGTTGAACAATAGTCGGAGCCGTGGCAGTTGTAGTGGAGTTGGTGGTATTAGGAGAAGTTCCATTTCCACTGCTGGCACTTCCAGTGGACAATCGATGTGGACTGTGCGACGATTGTCCATGGTGTGAGCTAGGCGATGCCCTGTGGGGACTGAGAAGTCCTGGTAGATTTGGGCCATGAAGAGGAGAACCTCCTGGGGTTGACCCGTGAGAATGGGAAGCGTGAGTGTGAGATCCTGTGCTTGGAGAACGTCTCGTGTGGTGTCTTGCACTGTCAGACGGAATCATAAATCTTTTATCAATACAATTTCATTGAAATCCACTATTCAATCTATATCTCACCTAGATTGTCTTCTTGGTGTCAGTGGTGAGCCCTGACTTATCTGACCTAGTTGAAGAGCTGTACTGCCATTAACTCGACATGTGTCTATTCGTTTTCTCGGTGGATCGGTTTCTAATTGGCTAGTGCCACCTCTAATTCCACCTCTCATCACTTCTAACTCGTCCTCACAAGCTGGCCTTCTCCTTTTTCGCTCCAGGAGGAGAAAATATATGACTTTCTCTGTGTTATGGCTGAAAAGAAGAGGAAAACATCGGTAAAGAGAAAAAAACAATCAATTTGGCGTAGTTTGGATTGATTGATTATTTCTTCTCTAGTTACTTGGGACTGAGCAATTCTTGAATGAGTTTGTCACGTTCTTTGAAACAACCGAGACTGGCGATCGCCTGAAGAACATCCGGGTCTATCGCCTCGACGGACGGTATCACATGTGTCTGCACCACTTCCATCATCGATAGCTCCAATTCTAATTCACCTTTTCCCGCTGCTGTTACCCATATGTGCCTATTTATTTCCGCCAACTGAAATAAAGCATTATTTTTCTCACAAATTAGAACGAATTGTTATTAACGAGGTAAATGTAATTGATAAATTACCGTGAGTCGTTTATCAGGATTCACTTCAATCATACCCCGGAGTAAATTCTGACAATCAGGTGGAACAAAATGGGGAATGTGAAAAACACCTCTTTTAACTTTTTCCAATAATTGACGGAGATTATCATCATCAAAGGGTAAAGCTCCAACAAGTAATGCGTAAAGAATGACTCCACAAGACCAGACATCCGCTTTTCTCCCGTCGTACTTCTCCCCCTGTGCAAGGCGAGTCGATAATTCATTAATACCGATGAAAATAGTGAATGACGCATTGAGAAAGTACTCACCCTGATGACTTCAGGACAAGCGTAATGAGGTGAGCCACAACTAGTTTCCAGCATTGATCCAGCTGGCTGGAGTGATGCCATTCCAAAATCGGCTATTTTAATGTTATTCTTCTCATCCAGGAGTAAATTTTCAGGCTTCAAATCTCGATGGCTGAAGTCACAGCCACAATAATGATTAAAAAATATGAAATTATTAAAAGGCGAATTTAATTAATAAAGCAATTGTTATTTGATTACCATATGTTGTGGCTATGACAGAAATCTAATGCAGAGATGATTTGTCGAAAGAATCTTCTCGCCTCTTTAGGGGTGAGACGAGCTTTTTTAACGAGATAGTCGAACAGCTCTCCACCTGATACGTGCTCCAGCACCAGATACCTGATTTAAAATTAAAAATCGATTCAACCATAATGAAATTTAAATGGAGGTCACTGCCCCCGTGAATCGATTGATTAATTAATTGATGAATATTTTAGGTTCAATTGGTGTTTCGTGGGTATGAGGAATTGTTACGTACAGGTATTTTTTATTCTCGTATACATCAGTCAGACCAAGCACGTGGGGATGATCGATGAGCTTCATGATGGCAATCTCACGTTCCACCTTCATCAATACCGACTCCGATAGTTTTTCACGATTGATGATCTTTATGGCTACTTTTTTGCCTAGTACACAGTGTACACCGAGCTTTACCAGTCCTACAAGTGGAAATTAATGCAATTATTGATAAGAGAGGTTTTTTAAAAAATTGAAAACCTCCACTGAGAATTTAAAAAATTCTTCACCAGAATTATATGAAATATTCACGTTATCCAGAAGGTTCAGTAAATATTTTAAGAGTGAAAAAAATAGGGATTCAATATGAAGAGAGGAATTTATTGGAAGGAATTGCATTTTCTGGAGATTCAATTCCTGTTGCAGGTTTTTCAACCGATCAGGCGAGATTTTTATTCAACATAATGGAGATAAAATCAACAAAATCGACAAGTGGCGCTGGTAATTAAGAAGAGGTAGTTAAAGGGTGCCATTAAAGCAACATGCGTCTCTTACATGTGCTGTCACTGATTGGTAAATTCCACCCTTTTATGTAACGCATGCGCTATTATGTACACCTCAGTAATTCCTTTTTTCCCATCTCTCACATGAATATTTAGAATCATGCGACTCAAGCAAGACATGTGCTTTTTCCAGTATTCGAATAAAATATGAGGGTTGCCAGGAATATTTTAAAATATTCCCCGTCGAAAATAAATGAATTATTCGTTTTGTTTGCGAGTGCTCTCGAGGGCAGGGATTTTTGCGAATTTTTTCATTAACGCCGAAATTCATTTGGTAATCAATAAATAATTGATAAGTCACTGGGCAGTCGTCCATGTTTAAAATAATGAGACTGATATGCCAGTTATTATCGATCCGTTGGCATACTGATCCGAGGGGAATTCGTGCCAGGTGTTTTCCGTAACAGGAAATTTTTAAAATCACCCCAACAAGAAAAATTACCGAAAAAAATAATCCTGACAGTTCAATACCTCTTATATAAAAGAAAAATTCCCCGAAAAATTATTCAGTCATTGAATATCCCCGAAATATAATCAATTGAAAAAAATCCGTCGGAGAAATTGATTTTAAAAACGGAATGAGAATTTTCTTTTCCCTTTCAATAATAATAATCGTTAAACGACAAAAACTCTGCACGTCTAATTGCAGATAATTCAAAGCGTAATTGTTACAATAATTATCAGCAATTATTATTAAATGGAAAGCACTCGTGTTTACCCTCGAGAGCTTGAGCTCGAGTTAATTCTGTACTCGCGATTTATTCGGGTCGAATGGAAATTTTCTCGAATCTATAATAAATTGAAGAGTTTTTTTTTAATAAAATAAAACTGGAATAGACAGACGTCCAAATGATATTTAATTGGAATGGGTTAATGCGCAAAATGTGATTAACGCACCGGTTTGTCCCTTGCCAAGGGTTTTCTCGAGTCGATAGGGTCCAACATACTGATGGGTTTCCTGGGTGTTGGACCCGACCGGGCTCTCTTTGCCCTGCATATTCTTCAAGTCCTTGATATCAGCCAGGATAGCCTCCTACACCGAATTAATCCCCTGGAATTTCCATAAGAATTCTCCCTGAAATATTTCCATGGCTCTAGTAAAATCGCACAAATACTGGTAACACGATTGATCCATCGTCCTCGTGTTGTCCACGTTTTTTTTTTTCTGCCAAGTGGACGACGCCGGTTTGGCCGATGAGGCCGTGGCCCCGTCCCCTACCTCATCCTCTAGTCCTCTTCATCTTAAAAAAAAATCCTCAGAAAATATTCTCGATTGCCAACAAATAAAACAACACCTAGGGAAAATAAATCCGCAGTATGAGTATCGGTATTTGACAGAAGTGTCAAGTGTCACAGCCTTGATCTGTGTCTCTTCCGGTGTTTCATGTTCTCCTCTCCAAAAACTTATTTCCCACCGAGTCCTTGGGATCAGGGCCGTCAATTATCCGCATAATTTCAAGTCCTGATATCTCACCGTCCTGAGAAATTTACCGATACCTGGCAAATGGCCCTGAAGAGCCTCGCCATTCCCGATCCCAACACAAATTATTATTTTCTATTTTTCCACCCCCTCACCTCACTTAAATCACACAATCGTCACACTGTCCCTCACACCGTCATCAAAATTCAACCTAATCGTCAGACTCGTTTCGTCGGGGAATTGAGTCCAAATGAACGGCTCGAGAATAAAAGTCCACCCCCTTACGAAGAATTCACCACCCGGACCAATCGACGGACCTCAACCACTGGATTCACAAATACCGATATATTTTTTTCAAGGCTGTTTTTATTCTACTTATTTATTTTTTCAAAAGCGCGGAACCGCAAGCCAACAGCTAGAGCTAGAACGGAACCGAGGGTGAAGGCGCTCCCAGTTCGATTACGTCCTCGAGGGGTTGCGCGCGCCTCTTTTACCCTCCAGTGCATGATTTGTGTCGATGTGAGGGTGGAGAAAGCTATATGTATCCAACCCCTCATCCCCATCCCTTGGCTATTGAAGATCCCTTTCATGTCTAGGTTTTAACAGGAAAGCAAAACCACTGATAAGGCACCCACTGGGCTTTCCTTCTCAACTGGGACTTCCCAGTCCATCACTTCTTCATTACTGAAATTTCACCCCTAGCATCATAATTAATACATAATTACTAAAAACAATCTTTCCGTTCTACGAAATAAACGCTGTTTTCATTTCTAACGCGCGAAGCGCAAAAATTCCGGAATTCGTTTGAATTCCTAATCCGATATCAAATCCCGAATTTTCTTCGCGGTTGTCGCGTTAAAAATGTCATCCAGTTTATTTATTGCAACGTATTCTTCAATATGTTGGATAATTATTGGTAATAATTGGATAATTGCAGAGCAGATTATTTAATACTGATATTTTATATTGATCTGGTCATTTCGCGGATTTCTTTATTTTATTCTGCGGTTCATTTGAGACGAAAATTGAGATGCATCTGCAATTGTCGAGGATTGAGAGCCGAGGAATGAGGGTGATGTCGAGAAGAATGACTCGAGTTGGGGGCAATCGAGAATAGGCAACCCTAAGATCGATATATAGAGAAACACATGGAGATACCCCTAAGAAAGTACCAAGTCCTTGACATCCTCAGCTCAGTCATGATAATACTTATGCCTAGATTTCAGATTTTACCCGTTATCCACATTTTCTTTGTCTCTAGCCATATAACTCCAATAATTTTCGCCTCCCCCCAGGATGTCAGGCCTCCCTGACAGGCGTAAAGGAAAATTCCCGATAATCACTCGACAAAGGGAAAACAAAGTGACGCCTTTTTTAATCTCTCTTCAAAAATCGTTCGATTGAAGTTCTTACGAATTAACCGATCGTTATTTACCAGACGTATCAATGGATGATTTATCTCTCAGAATGCATAATCTGTCATGGAAGGAATTAGGGATGGATGAGTGTTTCTGTTCTCTTCCGTATTCCCCTTCAAAGGGTGGCACGCAGAGGGGTGGAATATCCAGTCATATTTTCGAATCCCACAATCAATTAGTGTATTGACCTGCAATAATCATATTGTAATAAATGAAATAAATGATGCGTTGATTCGAGTGATTTACAGCGATCGATTCATTCAATTCACATCTCATTAATTTTTTCGGGGATTAATCCGTTGATTGAATTCTTTGAGGAGCTCTCTGATTGTTCAACAGTGAGTTCCATCAATTTCGAAGAATAAAATATCTCTGTGAATGGATTGGCATGACGTCATATATTCTTGAAGAGGGGAAATACTGTGTATACAGCTTCGTCACCCTCAACTGTGTAATTTAGGGGTGGAGAAATGTTAGGGAAGATCTTCGAGATCAAATCGTACATGAAACTACCGGTGAAAGACATGAATTTATACTCCAACTAGACAATATTTCATTTTGCAATCTAACAACAAGACCTGTTTTTATTCATAATCAGTATTATGAGATATTTTTATACGTTCCAGTGACTGAATCCTTTCACTTCTCAACCCAGATTCAGTGTCACGACTTTTAGATTGATCTAAACATCTCTTAATGATTCTCCAGGTGAAATGAACGATCGGTTATGGATGAGAAATAAAGTAAAAATGTCTCATATTTTTTTATTCGGGTTTGGAGGTGTCCATGGAAATTTTCTCCCACTGATTTCTATTTGGAGGGATCTGGAAAATACTTTGCAACTTTCCCCCGCGATGGCCCCGACTTTGCCTTTTCACTGTATATTATTCACGAGAACGTGAGTAACTAGTGTAGTTGAGAGATTGCCGTTGATCGAACGACAAGTTAGTTTAGTTTCATCGTTTGTTTGTGATTTATTTTATTTATTGACACAATGTTCAAGTGGATTGGTCTTGCACTTTTGTGTATAATTGCCGAGGGTTTCGCTAAACCCACGATCTATAAAAGAAATGAAGACAACATCTTTGAACCAGGTGATCTATTTTTTTTTTATTTTACTACGCAATTTTTATTTAAAAAACTGGTAATTCCCTCTCATTTCCCCTCGATAGGAATTTTCCCATTTTTTAATATTTCAATGTATATTTTATTATTATATATTTTTTTTACAGCAATTACTTCATTTTATCGTTTTAAATTTCAGTTTTTGTGGAATATCTATTTTTTTATTGAAATATGAAAAAGTTGATATTTTTATCGGTGGGGGAAATATTTATATTTATATGGAATATTTATTTAGCTTTTGAGGAAATATTGAAATGGTATTGGGGGAGTTACGGGAATTTCATTTTGAATAGATGAAAAATGTACCGAGGAGATTAACGGGTCGATGATGTCATTGCGCGTGGGTTTTGAATATAGCAAGTGAAATCGCTCCACACCTTTTTCAGATTTTCTCAATAACACCGACTTGTTCATTTTTATCTTATTACCGGGATGATGTCAAGGAAATGAATGAATAAATCTATAGAAAATGCAGATGAATGTCAACGGTCTATCAATAAATTAATAGAATTCCGTTATAAATTGATTTTTGCATCAACTGTCGAGAAATATAAAATTCAAATATTTTTCATTGATCTTCCAGTTATGGTACCTGTATCCTCAACGGTGATTCCTCTTCCCGTTTACAAGGTCGGGTATGGATATGGTTTCGTATCGAAGGACAAAAAGTCTCAGAGTATTTATAATCCCGATGAGAATGTCAAGTTAATCACAGGTAGATTTATCAAATAGAATTCATGCAAAATTCAATTACTCTAAGACACTAATAAACTTTACTTAATTTCAGTGAAAAAAGTCATTGAGAAACTTTGATCGACTTCTCCAATTGGATAAAAAAATAAATCCCTTCAGAAGATATTTTCTTCGGAAGCTGCACACCAAAAACTAACTTAAACTATAATTCTGTAGCTATGATGATACAATTGTTAATAAATTAATAAAATTATAACTCAGATTATTCTAAATGTAGTTCTTTATTTTTCGTCAATCGAACATGAACCGATGAGAAACGGAATGCGAATATCGATGGATTATGGAATATTTATTCCATTTTTGCGGATAAAAACAGCTGATTAAGTAGAAAAACTAGTTGACGACCTCCTAGACTATTTCCATTGGCTGTTGCTCAGCTGTAAATGAACAGATAATAATTAGATAATAATTTAAAAGTGAGGGAGATTAATTCAGTACTTACGAAGTTCATTGAACATGAAATCGTCTTGATATTCTTTTAAATACTGAGTCGATCGGTGTTCATCGAGGAAGAGGGAATAAACTCTCTTCACGTCATCAATACTGACCTGCGATAAGAGAAAAAATATGGAAATTAAAAAATTATTATATATAACATTCTGGTTCAACCCGTATTATTTTCCAATTTTCAGACAACCCATTCGAAAAATTGTTGCTAATTTCTTAGCAACAACAGCTACACGCACATCCTTATAATGGCATTTCCCACTTGTTAAAAATAAATCGATGCTTGGAATATCCGAAAAATTGGAATCACTGAATAAAATACTAAATCACACCGAGAACAATTCACAAAATCAAGTCGATCAGTGGGACATGATGATTGCATATCTAAGGATTGAAATCTGAGATTAACTTAACTGGATTTTAGCATAAAAAAAAATGGGGGTCACGGAACGTGTCAACAGAAGGAAGAAATTACCTCAGTACTTTTCCTCTTGCGACTGACCAACGAGGCAGTGGTGATGAGTTGAATAGCATATCTGAGAGAAGAATCCGCTGCAATTCTCGTGAGCACAGTGAGTGCATCATCAGCCATTTCGCAGTCCTCTTCCTCGCACCTAATTTTCAGTATTTCCTTGAGATCTTTCTCCTGATAGGGAGTAGTTGGAACAATAATCATTCTGTCGAGGAGGTCAATGGGAATTCCATGAGGGCTCTTGTAATTCGTTCCTCTTATCCTCGTGATGCCTCTGTTTGTCGCCATAATGACAATCGGTGACATTTCATTCTCAAGTGCTCGATTCAAAAACGAGAAGCACTCGATGTCGAGCATGTGGACCTCATCAATAAACAAAACCCCAGGTACAATTTCAGCTTTTCCCTCCTCTCGCCACTCCCCAACTTTCGAATTAATCTGCTCTCGTACTTCAGATTTTATTTCCCCAGTGTCACCAGAAAATAGTGCCAAAAATCCGTGCGTTCTGCTGTTGATTACGTCGATCTCGTGGAGTGAAACCGTGTGAACGACTTCTTTGCGTTTCTGTAGCTCACCCTCAGGGCACTGGACAAATCGTGTTTGAGATCCAGTGGCGTCATAATCCCTAGCTCGTGTGAACGATCTTCCCAGTCTATTTATTTTCCCTGTTGCCTTATCGATGGTGATGACATCCCCAGCCTGAACTTTCTCCTTCATCAGACTGTCAATCATTTTATTACCAAGATCGTAAATCGTCTCCATCTCCGTTGTCTTCAGAGTGAGTTTACCAACTTTGGCACCAACACCAGTTGCCGGCCTGTCCACCTGAATCTCCACAACTTCACCCTCGATTATCTCAGTCTCTTCCTTAATTCGTACACCAATGGATTTTCGTATTGCCTGAGTGAGCGCCTCGGTTTTACTCATCTCCAACGAATAAATCTCAGATCCTGCCATGGAGGTGAATGGTGTGTCTTGTCCAAGAGCCTGAGCCAGACCCATTGCTATCGCCGTTTTTCCAGTTCCAGGCTGACCTGCCAGCAGAACAGCACGTCCTGCGATTTTCCCGTCCTTAATCATCTCCAGGATAACCCCTGTAGCTCTACGAGCACCCAACTGACCCACCATTCCTTGTGACACCTGTCACCAATATTATTGGTTTTACAGAATCAATGCGATGTAATAAAATTCATAGATCATTTTAATAAAAAAACTCACATGTCGAGGCTCCAAACTGTCATCTAGGCCAAGACCTCGAATGTGGGAATGAGCACCAATTCGCTCGATTCGAGTGATTTCCCGCACTTCCTGGACTTTCGCTGCTGCAATCGCCTGGAGTAATTTATTGAAAACAATGGAAATTAAAATTCTACTCGATAAATAAAAATACTAGAAGTCCATTCTCTAGAAAAAAAAACTGCCATCGATTTCTTAAAGAAAGCATTGGGTTTTTGTATTAATTTTCTTTCTTTTTCTTCCCAATTATTTCACATGACTACAAGATTGTTTGGTCGAAGGGATAAAAGCCGGTTTAACCTATAATCCGCAAACATTGTATTCAAAGCTGTGGGGAGATGGAGAATAGTTATCACGAACAAATTAGAAGAGTGATTGAATAATAATTTTGAATGAAGACAATTGATTGATTTTTATATTGATTATCAGAAAAAATATATTAAAAATGTGACAACTTTCTTACCGCCATCGTTTGCGTGCTTCCGTTGTTTCTTCCCTTCACAAAATGCCTCTGCACATGTGCGACAATAAAAAAACGAAAAATTCTCTGTGGGTAATGCAGTTACTCCAATTTAAAATGCAGATTGAACAACAAATTTCTTCAAATAAAATCTTTATTGATTTATTTCACTGTAAAAAATTCAATTCCAGCATTCGTTGGCTATATTTATGAATCCACGTGAAGTAGTACTCGATTTTTTTCAAATAAAGTGGAATGCATTTTTTGGAGCGATTCATGTACTGTTCGTCGATTTGAGTTCCAAATTTTTTGAAAAATAGGGGATTATTTCGCTTCTGTTTCCCTGAAGATAATTCTCTCTTCGCTTTAGTGAGTAAATGATGGAGGTCTGATACAGCAGACAACATGTAAAAATTCTGCTCTTCTTTACTCGGCCCCTGGATGATTTGTTTCAAATGATCAATTATTACATTTTCCTCGTCATTATTGAACAGCTGGAGCTGAAATTGGAATTAATACAATAAAGGATTATGGAATAAATATAATTGATACTCACATCAGAAGCTTTTTCTGTCACAGCGTCTACAGCTGATTCTTCATTATCAAATACCCTATTATCAGCGATATTATCACACAATTGCAGGAACATACTGACAGCCTCTTTCACTGAATTTTGATGATCGCCATCGTAATGGAGTACCACGAGAACGTACGAAGAGAGAAGATTCACGAGATTAAAGGGAACTGTCGGTGAGGATTTCTGGAATAATGAGAAAAATAATTTTGGATTTAATTTATCATGGCTTCTACCAATTTTACCTCCACCGCTGGTATGTAGGTGATGTCTAAAAGTCTCGGGCATTTTTCAACTTCTCTTTTCTTTTCATTTCTGTCAATTTCTTTAATTAGCTGCTTCTCAGTATTTTTTAAACTCCACCAAGGGCGCCAGTTGGGCAGGAGCTGTTGTTCTTCACCATTCCTGAGGAGTGCTTCGAATTCCTGACGTTCAGAGTCAGTTAAGACCTCCCAAAGCTCATTGGCATCGTCCAAATCCACGTTTTCAATACGATCCGCTAAATCTGGGACCTAAAATCGATTAATTACGAGATTTATGAATATTAATATGGTCTATCAAGTAATTATCTGTCAATTTACATCTTCGTCGTCGTCTGAGTCGAGTTCTTCGCGTAAATCATCGATGTTCAACAAATCTTCTGCATTGTCGAATGGGTCTTCTTGTTCATGAATTCTCTTCAGAATTTCAGTCATCTTTTTTTTCTCTGCTGGATCATTTGTCTGAGATTTCATCTCATCCTCTACCCATTTCTTGTAAAATTCTTCTGAACAGTTCAGATGAGATGTGGATTTGTAACAATTCATTGAACAATAAGAAATACTGCACCTTGGGCATGTGTATTTCGGTGGAGTGGAATTGCATCTGAGAAAATATTTAGAACTGAGTAAAATGAATTCTATTTTGTTTTTCATTCGTTTATCAATGGAATTCATGAATCAATGTTTATGGTTTTACGTACATTTGACACAAATTGCTCGATGCATCGACGTCTGCCATATTCTCATTAATTTATATCACAGGATAAAAAAAAACAGCGACACGTGAAATTTGTTTGCAATTTTATTATGCTTTTTTTGTGTAACCTCGTTTTTGACGGACAAAGAAGAAATGAATGATCTGCCTTTATTTAGGTATTCACCATTGGCTCGGATCTTCGCGGGGAAATATGAATGGTGCAATTGAGGATTTCGCAATGGGAAATAAATGGACAGAATTCTGTTTTTATTCTTTTTATTTTTCTATTAGTGTTCCATCAGGTAATTTTTTGTATTCATACACAATTCCTTTTTTTCGGTCACTCCAAAATTCTGTTTCAACTTTGGAAAGCACAAACTGAGGATCGACAGCTGATTCTTGGCACTTTAGGAGATTATCCCTGGAAGTAAAATTAGTCGTGGTTTGTTTTCTCGGTTTATCCAATATCTCGTACTCATTTGAGGTCATGTCATGTCCTTTGAGAATATTTTTAGAACTCCTCAGAAGTTTCACGCCAGATTCTGATTTTTCATGTTTGATTTTCTTTCTTTTACGTGAAGACTTGGAACCAGTGATTTCATCTTCCATTTGAATATTTCTGTAAAATGAAAAATTACTTTATTCCCCCTTTCTTTTTCAGGATTTCTCATAAGAAATTAAAATGATCGATTGTCATAAATCACAAACCTATCGAGAAGTTCAATGAGTTTTTTCGCCATGTAATCTTTGAATCCCTCTGACACTCCAAATTCATCATATTTCTCCACATAATTGTCTTCCACACTTGTAACTTCTAAAATAATCATCAAACATTGAAAACGAGTGAATGAACAAATAGAGTGAACAATGAAAACAACCTTTCTCTTTTGTTTTTTTATCGAATAAAGATTCTGTGAGGAACTGCGAGTCTGTAGCTTCTTTCAAGGCTCTCGTCATTTCATCGTCAGAAGAAGACGATTCTTCATCATATTCTTTCATTATTGACATAAAAATATAAAACACAAGTAATAATTATCTGAACAGTAAACAACACCTTGAGAGGGCGTTTGTAAATTTGAGAATAAGGTTAGAGCGGTTAGAGCGCAGGTCAAGAGCATCCGAATCTGACAACTGACAAACAATAAGTGACAGTTATCGTGTCAAGTGAAATATAACTTATTAGATCCGAAAAAAATCAATCGAGCCCTGCAATGGATCTCTCTAAAATGCCCAACGACAAAAAATTGTATCTCTGCAAATGGTACTTTCGAGGTGAGAATTAAACAACATGAGGTTATTGCAATATTCGATTACAAATTCCATATTTCTTCATTTATTTGTTTCAATTCAGGTGGTTTTGCCCTGTTACCATTTTTATGGGCTGTCAATGCCATCTGGTTCTTCAAGGAAGCCTTCATACGACCCCATTACGAGGAGCAGAAGACAATAAGAAAATGTAAAGTATTAATCAATATTGGGTCATTGTCGAACGCATTAGTCATCAGAAAAATGCTGAGACAAACAGATTCAATGTCACTCGATTTTTCTCCCTACTTTATATTAAAAGATATATTCTCATCAATTTTTTCAGATGTAATATTATCAGGGGTTGGTGCATTATTCTGGATAGCTATACTCGTAGCCTGGATAATAACATTCCAGACGCAAAGAGCAGCTTGGGGAGAATTCGGAGACAGCATCAGTTATATCATACCAGAAGGAATGCCATAACAATTTCATTGACCTCATTTTTTGTACGAAAAATATTTATTACATAATACATTCATTTGTTTACTTCTAAATAAAGTGATGCCCCATGATATCATGAGGCGAGGACTTAAAAGAGGGAAATTTAAAAATTAAAAATTAAAAATTTGATATGAATAAAGATTTTCTACACAGCCAGCCGCCTTTGCCTATAGGTACGTAGATCTCTGTACACAAGTCTGGATAAGAATAATAGGGCTAATACGTCAGCAGTCATGAGCATGTGAAAGACATTGTGCCAACCCATCCACCTGGAGACTAATCCAGCTAGAAGTGGACCGACTGCTGCACCAATGCTTCCAGTTCCATCGATAATTGCAGTCACTGTGGCGACAGCCTTTGAATTATCACCCAAACTCGGATGTGTTCCCAATTCAGCGGATACAGCTGTTGTTATCAGGGCGTAGGGACCATTGACAAGAGCTCCAGCCAGTAACAGCAGCACTACCGTTGTTCCCAAATTCACGTTTCCGGTGTAGTCGTAGATAAAAAGCTGGAATTATATCAATGGTAGTAATAATCACGTTCTTCTGTTATCAAGCCCTTGATACGTACCACGGGTACAGCAAGAATTAACATTCCAGAGCAAGTAACTGCACTCATACCAGTGTAGTCCGATAGAATTCCTGCAGCAATGGCTCCAGCAATTCCTCCCACATCGAATAATGTTGATAAGTCTCCACTCAGAGTGGGACTGTAAGTTGCTGCGAGCAATAACCGTCATTATGAGAATAAGTGATTGGATAAAATTAATTAATAGAAATGTGGAGCGCTACGAATTGAATTAACTTTACTAACTTGAAGAACTAATGTAAAGTGGCAGCCAGTAGAGAAATGTGTAGCTCACTAGTTTGGAAAAGAATAGTGAACACGAGTACTCCATTACCCCAGGAATTTTTATTGCCCCAGCAAATCCAATTGCTCGTTCATTACCAGTGCTGTGGCTACGTCTATTCCCTGGGAGCATTGGGCTCGTCTCAGACTCGACACTAGAGGGATCCTTCATGGAAAATTAAATTAGTCAGACCTGAGATGATTATGGAAGTGATTGAATATCGATATTGAAAGTACTTGAAGAGAACCATTTCATTGAATAATGTTAATTACATGCACTTACAGGCTGGTTAGCATGCTGATGCCAGCTACAGCGATGGATGATCTGCTAGAGTCAATGAAAGTACAACAAACTAGCTATATTATTAAACAATGAAACTACAAAAAAAAAATCTATGATTAATCGACATTAATTGAAATTCCTTCCCACTGTACTCACGTCTTCAGCCTGAATTCGCCTGTCATCGTTATCTTCACTAGATGTACCTTCGTCTGAACTCGCTGCATTCATTTTTCTATACCTAGGTGGAATTGGCAACAGACAATCGACGTCCTGGGGATTTGGAGCCAGAAACATGAATATTATGAAGCCAGCTACGCCCATAATAACCCCAGGAATCATGAAACTCAGTCCCCAATTTGTTTCCACGTATTCGGCTGCTATCAAACTCCCCAGAATATTTCCTAAGGATGTGTGAGAATTCCAAACGCCGAATATCAGACCTCTCTTCCCTTTTTCGAACCAATTTTCGATTACTGTCACTACTCCAGGCCATCCTGTTGTCTGGAATACCCCACCCATCGCCTGAAGAAAACATTTAATTAAATCGTATCATTTGTCATTAAATTGGCGATTTTGTGGAATAACAGTTGTCGATCTTTACAATCGAGGACACGTCTAAAAAACCCCGTCAAAAAAATTAAAAAATTGTCAGTCCATTGAATCGAATTGAATTTATTGTCACGGGTTTTTTAGAGACGGACTCTTGTAATCACCTGGACTAGGATGAAATACCACAGATTGTGAATGTTGTATGGCTTAGCTATTCCCAATAAATAGCTACAAATCCCAGACAGCAGCATTCCCAATGATAAAAAGTACCTGAGATTCACCCTTTCAGCCACGAATCCACTGGAAAAATATTGAGCACAAATTTGATCAGTTTAAATCTGTATAGCCCATTTTTTTCGAGAATGGAGCTTACATGAAATCGTCACCTGAGGAACATAGCAGCAGCATAAGCGAATAAAAATGCCGAGTCCAGAGTGCCTAGCAAAGCAGGCGCATCAGGTGTATCTAAAATAAATGAATAAATGAGGAAAAGAGTAAAAGACTCTGGTGCTCATAATAATAAAAATTTCTTACCAAATGGTGCCCAGTCACACCAGGAGTCCTTATTGTGGTCATTGATTATAATATCAGGTGGTGGTGACAGCGAACTGCAATTCAGATTCAAAACATTTTTCACTACGGAAATGGGCTTTCTTGACATATGGTAGCACGTATACGCGATATAGGTGAGTGCTAAAACGCCTCCTCGATGCCATGCCAATTTATTGACTCTTCGATATCGACAGCACTTTTCATTAATCCAATAGATCAGAGTCATCCCCCATGGAGCATCTCCTGAGGGTAGCGCCATTCCTTTTTATTTCTAAATAATTTGTCCCAAGGATTTTTGCTTCACGGAGTTCTCGGTCTCTTATGCCTCTGGAGTTATCAGTGATCCCATAGTTCTTTCAGTTATTCAGTTTCAAATAAAGAACAATGCGTCATGTCTGGAATTAACAGAAAATGGAATGAGCGCACAATTCAATGACAATGAGCAGTGCAATACAGAGTAAACTCATTTGACATGCTATTTATTTATTGAAATATAGACGTACCTTGATCAGTATTTCTGGGAAATCGTATGGGATAAGCAAATGAAAAAAAAAAACGGGAATTAAATACGATTAATGGGTCTTATCAGAGGATACATGGACATCCTCATGCCACGCGCTCAAGACATATGTCAAATGTTTGTCAATTTCAATGAAGTTATATGTTCTTCTTTTCTTTGAAGAATATGGATGTCGATAGATGGCGATGCAATTACTCTCTGGTATTGGTCACTGCTTTACCAAAAGATAATTTTTGTACTTGCTACTTACTTCATGTAGAAAGCGGAAGAATTTTTTCGGTTTTGTCTAGTATCTCGATTCTCTCGTCTATGTACCTGAATCAGAACTGGCACTGACGTCTGAAAGAAAAGCATATAAAGTGGGAAAAAGTGAGAAGGAAAAGGTGGAAGTGAAAAAAACCGAATTTTTAATTCTTTTGAGAAAATGGCTGACCACAGAGAACGAGACTCCTATTATTCACAGACAGATCCACGTTCTAAAAATGACGATCCACCAAATTCACGTTTGTTTGTTATTTGTCACAAGAGCCTGGAAGAGGATGATCTCAGGAAGGCATTCGAGAAATTTGGAAAAATCGAAGATATATGGGTCGTCAAGGACCGCAATACCGGAGAAAATAAAGGTAATTTATTCTTTACTGGAAATATTTTATTATTTTTTCAACAGAAATTCTACTTTCTTATTGTTCATTCTAATCGATACACAACCATTTATTGTTGATTGTTTTTCGATAGGAGTCACGTACATAAAATTTTCAAAAACCTCCGAAGCGGCTTTTGCACTCGAAGAAATGAATGGAAAAATGTTGGGATCTGTGGGACGTCCCATCAAAGTCATGATCGCATCAAAGTAAAGAACTATTTATTCATAATATGGTTGTAAGGGAATTAATTAAAAATTTGTAAATATCTCTCATTTGTGTGAGAGATTTATCTTCGAGTTGTGAGGGGAAAATTTTTGGGTCTTATCGACTGATTAGGGATTGAAAATTTGTGTTTATCGCATTTATTTATTGCCGGTTGGTCAGATAAGCTAGGGCTTTTGACTCCGTATGCTAAACACCTTATCAATTCGACGGATTTACGTAACTCGAAAGGTTCAGTGAAATATATTAACACCATCTTGTGAAGAAATAAGGCTTGAAAAAATTCTGTACGAACGATATAGTAATTTCTCCTTGAAAAATAGAATAACGTTATTGAAGTAAATTTTATCGTCGCACTAACGAGCGTGACTTGAAGATGAATTTTACCGTTTTAAACGGCAGTTGACATTAAAATTTTAACGTCTCTGGATTTCTCCTCACCTTCATAAAAATTGTGCTGTACATTATTACAATATTCCTCCAAGACAATGATAATTTATATTAAAATTTTCCCATTAGCCGAGATCAAGGATCAGTTCGGGAAACGAATGAGGAAGAGAGATGGGTCCGTCTATTCTGTGTATTACCAAAATCCATGAATGACCACGAATTGCAAAATGAATTCGCCAAATTCGGACCAATTGAATACGTAACAGTGGTGAAGGATAGAAATACAAGCGAGTCAAAAGGCTTTGGTTACGTGAAATTCAAGAAAGTATCTAGTGCGGCGAGAGCCTTTGAGGAATGCGATCGAAAGTACAAGGCTGTATTTGCTGAGCCAAAGAAGCCAAAACCAGATCACTCAGACACTAAATACAACAACGGCATGTCAGTGCCATACGAGAATATAAGTAATAATTATGGCTCATCGAATTTTGGTAAGAGTGCAATTGGTCTCGAGATCGCAACAAATTATCAGAATCCAGATGGATACACAAGACTGCAAGTTATTGCTCATCCTGCACTAAATCAGGATCAATTGTGGAAATTATTTGATATAGTCCCTGGTTTGGATTATTGTCATTTGAAGACAGACGTCAGATACAGGATGCCTCGTGGACAGGCAACAGTTGTTTACTCGCATCCAAGTGCTGCTGCATACGCCCGAGAAAAATTTCATGGATTTGAATATCCACCTGGTCATCGCATGATCGTCAAGCCCGATATGGCGGGTTTGACGCCGCAAAAAAATACTGTTAAACCAGGTGGATCAAGTTTAACCGGTATAAGTACAAGAACCGATCTGGCGCACCTAGCGGAAACAATTGCACAAGCTACGTCGTTAATACAGGCCGCTGGACTAACGGCTCCAAGTTAGTTTTTACTATTATTATGCGTAGATTAAAAATCATCTATTTTTACCCATTATTACACGATCAATACTAGGAAATGTGGAATAACAAGTGGACTTGTTACCCTTTACCATTCAATTATTTTATTATGTTTCAGGCTTGGAGCACACGATCTCTCTGAAACTTCCACCTGTACAACCAATGGCGAGTATAGATGCTGAAGTCGAGAAGAGGTGTTTCATAGTCTGTGGACCACCTGTCCCTCCGATTTACGCGATGAAAGATGCTTTCTGCAGATTTGGCAATCTCATTGACGTCTACATGCTTCCGGGTAAAAATTGTGGATATGCAAAATATGCGAGTGTTGAAAGTGCGAATAAAGCTATTGAGGTGATTATTGTGATTATTATTTTTTAAGAGTGTAAGAAGTAATGAGGAGAATTATTCAATTGCAGATGCTCCACGGTCAAGAGATTTGTGGTTCTCGATTGAAAGTTTTGGAAGCTGAGGAACGCAATGACGACCGACGCAAACGTCTGCGAATGGACGAGGAAGAGCACTAGAGTCTACGCTTTATATTTGTTGTGTGTCACGTAAGTAGAAGGAAATTATGAGGAAAAAAAACTGAACCAAACAGCGACAATATTCAATTGACGAAATAAGGAAGGAAATGTGATCGTAGGGGAAACAAAATTTACATAATTTTTTTTTGTATTTATCTTCACAGACTGACTGGTTAAACACAAGCTGGACGCACGCAACAATGAGACTATATAAAATATGCATATTAACGATAATTTTTAAGACTCACTTGACCTCCGTCGGGCCAGCAACAGAGGAAAATTATCTACAACAAAATATTCACTATTTTAAAGAACTGTTCTCATATTTTTTTATTCCTTCACAAATCTAACATGGAGATACTCCAAAATTACTTCACTATCTCATTTGCAACACACACATCCGCTGTATTTTCTATTTGTTATTCAAATAGGCCTGTGCGAAGACTGATTTTTTTTAGTGATCTTTTATAGATTTTCTTCACGAAAAAGCAAATGCGAATTAAAAAATACTGTCTCGATAAATTGACGCTCGTCAAATACCGGTTGTATTTTGGAAGGGAAAACTAATAACGAGAAACATAAAATGCTTTTCACAAAACCAAAAAAAAAAAAAAAGGATAAAAATTTGTGCAAATGAAAAACGTCCAGAATATATTTTTATACAACAAATAAAAGTCCGGCTGAATAAATGCGAGGTAAATTAACGTACTAATTGGGTGGAAAAAAAAGAGTATGAAAAATAAATAATTATGAATGCAGATGAGGTTTCAGTTTTAACTCTACATTGTTCGCACAGGCTTTCATGTCTAGCCTGTGTTTCAAACTGTATCCTTTGTTTATTGTGTAGAAAAATATGCATGTTGCCTTTAGAATCGTCAAGTATTCAAACTGAATATCTCAAAATTTTTTTGTAGGTAAATACAAAACATGTCCCAGACAGAAAATTCAACTGTAATGAATTTTATAAAAAAGATCCACTGTTCATTTTATTTACGCCAAGTACAACAATTCGGAGACTAATTAACCGATTCTGGTAATTAATAATACCGATCGTGCCTCTCACAAGAAGTCGGAGCCAAAATTTCATTATTCCTGGTCGGATTTTATTTAAGCTATCGTGTTTAGAGGCTTTAGCTTTTACTTTCGAGATAAATAAAATTGAGGGATTCATTGACACACACGATCATTTCTCACCAAGTCTCGAATTCCTTTTCTCGAATTCTTCGAGGCCGCTCCCACAACGAATTAAAATTTTCGAAGGAATATTCCATTCAAGAGTAAAAAAAATGAAATAATTCCCATTGAGACAGTAGCACTTCCCGAATAAATTTATTCTCGGCGTTGTTTCAGCTATAATTATTTACTCATATCAATTGTACACGTAGTAGCTTAAGTATTAATTTGTACCAGAAAATTGGCGTAACGTTTCAGTAAAATTCAATGGATCAGACTTATTTCATTTTCGGCTGAAACTAATTTGTAAATTAAATGTCGTTACTCCGAATGGAGTAATCGTCTATTTTTTTGGTCAATAATCTGATCAAACCCACGAATTTATCAATTTTAATAACAAAAAAAAAAGCGAAAGGAGTGTATAATATTTCCATAACCGAAATACCATGGGAATAATTAAAATCCAACGACAAACAATAAATCCGTAAGTGGAACCCGTAATTTTTTGTTCAGTAAACAATGGAATGATTTCCTCTCTTGACATAAAAAAAAAAACTAATGGACTGTATGTTGACTGTAACTGGAATGTTGACATAATGAAAATACACTGAATATGAAGGCAATTAAATAAAACCTTTTCTCAAATAGACACCAATACGGACTTACTTGAATTTACAAGTGATATTTAAAAATATGTCTTTCTTCTCACTTTTCAGGATATGTGATGAACATGAAGTACCTGATGACAACTGTGATATTAAGTGATAATAAGAAGATCGTTTACATTTGATCTCGAATATATTAAAAATTTTTAACCAGACCTATGAATTTTTGATAAATAAAAGTCTATAATTCAAGATTTGAATGAGCGCCAGATGAATAAACCTTAAAAAACTCCTTGTCCCTGAGAAAATAAAAATTTGAGAGCATCCAGAGATTAACGATAGATTTGTTAATCCATTATTATTTATTCTGGATTTTACAAAGACTGCGATTACTGACCTTGCGTTCGCCTCGACCCGTGAAGGATCTAATTATTACATAAAACAACTGGTAACATGTATATTTAAATCCAATTTATACAGGTGGCCTCTTTTCCCTGATTGCTAGGGTGGCACGTTTCATTGCACACTCCTGTCACATTTTTTCTGTTCATATGATGTTAAATACACCGGGGGCGGAAAGCCGACGACCACGTGCAATCTGCGATTGCGCGCAAATCCGTAATTGTATTCGGTACTCTATTCCATGTTGACTCTCATTGTCCATATCGACTGCAATGCGCGTGGATCAAAATCTTGGATAAATTATCAGTGCTATGCAAGTAATGGAAAATAATAATTTCCTTCAATTTATGGAGCTCAGATAACTACAGTGAAAGTATGAATTATTTTTTTAATTAAATATGTGACTGAAATTTTATACAATAGTTTATTAACGAGTTATAATCACCGATTGTTTGTGGAGAAGATCATAAATATGTCGACGAATGATCATGCTAAAGTGTCAGACTCTGGTTACGCTAATACATGCGACAATAGTCAGTCCCAAAGGAGGTGAGTAGTTTTTAATTTTTTTTTCTTTCCCCTTTGGTGCATCCTGAAGAGATCATGCACTAGGAATATTGCGTAATGATTATCCGTCTGCTCGTTCAGCACTGGACAATTTTATATAACACCGTTTTTTATTTTATTAATTTTGCATTCGTCAGACTTTATTCAGACGATCTGATAGAAGACTTCGACTGTTAAATCCTTGTGACGATGCCATTGCACTCGCGACTTATGCCAAGAGTATTTGAACGAGAAAAAAATTATGTAAATTATTGGACTTGAAAATTGGTACATAACGTCCGATGCAAAATCATAAATTCAATTTATCTCGGTTTACCATTTAAATTTCCAGGCGCCATTGTAAAATCATTGTAAAATTTCCATTGTAAAATCTTGGAATTACTCTGCATGATAACACCACAAATCTGTTTTCCATTAACATCTATAAATAAATCCACAGTCTCCTATTTTTTAAACTGAAAATCCCCTGAAACATTAATAAATTGGTCCTTAAAAATAGCGGTGTGTCAATCTCTATTGTCCAAAAATTATCAAATTGTAATTATAAATAAAATAAATTCTCCCGCTCTGGGCACATCTATTTATTTATGAGATTTTATTAGATCATGCGAAATAAACCGATGGGAATGTATAATTATCTGCTGCAGATGCTATAACCGGAATGTAAAATGATATAAAAAAATGGTTATCCCTTTTGCAGTTCCCCTAGTCCGGTGTTACATCAATTACTCTTTGTAAACCCGAGGGTTATAGAATCAAGGGTATAAGAATAGAATTTTTGTACTTGTTATATGACTAGTCTCGTGTCGAGGTTGGATTATTATCCTTGAATTCAAAGAGTTTATTTCAGGAGGGCTGGAATAAATTCTCATTATTATACGATATCGGAAATAGACTATTGTTTCTCGTCATCTCCACAACCAGTGGAAAACGCATTGAATGACTAATTATATTCATCATATGTATATCCTATTAGCTATTTACATTTCGCTCCCATCCCTCACTGATATACTCCCCTCCAAAAAAAAACAACTTTAAAAATATAAATAATGGCATAAAATTTATTCATCTCCACGAAATTGAACTGGAAATAATTTTTTCCGCAGTTCACGACTCCTTATTGGTATGTAAAGGTATTGTTTATTTTATATAAAACGTCTTAAATAATCTTAATGTCTGGTATTTTTTTCTTGAAGAGGTATTACACATGATTGACTGTAGTTATTGAATTACTTCTAATGCAGTCACGGGGCTCTCAATGTGCGGTCTTATGTAATACTTCCAGTTTCAATGTTTTCAATAAAATTTTAATGACGAACGATATTTTCCCCTTGAGCAATCGCAGCGTCTGGTATTACAGGTCTATTTATTTGTTTATTGTTCCAGCAGTGGGAGTTCTCTCTCGAGAAATAGCAACAGGTCCGGAAGTAGTGGATATTGTGGTGGTCATCCTTCTAATTTTGGGTCGAGGTACTGAATTAATGAAGAGCATAATAAACAATCGATTTGTATAATTTAAGGAATCGGTCCCGATCGAAAATATGAATTGTCAAAGAGGATCGAGAGCTCTACTTGCTATTTGTTAATGAATAAGTCCATGGAAGTGTCAGTCTGTGGTCTCATCAATTAATCCGCGATGCACACATTATTATTTTTATTATTTATATTTAAATTATACCGATGATTACTCCCACCCCTGAGACCTATTCAAAGACTGTTTGCTTCATGTTGAATGCAGTAAATCGCGGATTGGCATTTCTTTATTTTCTATTTGACTTATGAGTGAATTGGTATTACGTCAAGTACATTCCCATTTTATCCCTGGAATGATATGTCATCTTGGATCGTGCAAAAAGCTTTTCCTTTTCTTTTCGTTCAAATTCTAGTTTCACAATTAATTAACGCGTACGTGAAAAATGTGAACGAGTGAGTCACTGAAAATTGAATATTATAAGGCAAAAAATCCACACATTCCCCCGAACATTGTGATGAGCACTTTTTTTTTTTCTCATTACCAAGTACGCAGCACTGCACGTGTGCTGCCGCGTGCTGCCGCGTGCTGCATCGCGTTATCTATCGTAGATTTTTTTTTCTCAATGCTTCCACACAGGGGAATCCGCTCAAGTAACTTCAGTGGCCTCTTCGTATTATAGGAAATATTTTCTTGAAGCATTTAAAAGTCTCAACAATTATACAGAAATAATGTCATCAGGACATATTAACAATAATTCCGCTGCCAAGTGGTAAACTAGGATAAGTGTATTTTTTCGAGGGCAGTTTTTCGCAAATATTTCGGAATTGAGGGAAGATAACGATATTTTCATAAACACAATTTTTCCACCTCTCAATTTTTTCTATAAAAAATGTTAATATAAAAAAATCGATATGCTCTCTCAATTCCGAGATATCGGCAAAAAACTACAGTGGAAAAAAATGTACTCATCCTAGTTTAGCCCTTCAATTAAATTCTATCGCCGATTTTTTCACCTGGACAATTTTTTCAATGATTATCGATAGAAAATCGATCGATCAGTGGATGGATTAATCGATTTATTGAGGGATTTAGTGATTCCCGTGGGGCAGATAACACCGAGATGAAAAATTAAGTGAAAGTCTAATGAGCGAAAAGAAAAGAATGATTCGGATGATTGAAGGGATATCGATCGGGGTCGTAATGAAAAAAAAAAGGGTATGGAAAATGAAGTTTTGTTTGTCAATAAATGATCATAGCAATGAGGCTCTACCGCAGCCCATCAGCAAGAAAAAGAAGAAAGAACAAAAAAAGAAGAAATTGAAGACGCTGACATCACTGGAAAATGAGCACGGGGATTCGGCTCAAAAATGTCCTGGCCACCAAACTGATACAGGAATATACAACCATATCTCCGTCAATTCGGAGCAAGTTTTGAAAAAATCAGGTTGGTTCGCTGGTGCAAGAGACAATGAATTTCGAGCGAATTATTCAAACAAATAATTCGAGCATAACGATGGTACGCACCGCTGTGACAGAGAGTTTTCCATTTCAATTTTTTAATAACCATTTTTATATTTTTATTCACTGGTGTCCCAGCTCATTATTTTTATGCGATGAAATTGCGATACTTCACACGAAATCACTTGCAATTGAAAAATCGAGTGATTCAACGGACAATCCAGAGACCGCGGGCGAGATGGACGTGTCCATTTGTTTAAATATTCTTAACTCTGCAATAAATTGAAGGGGTGGAATTTTTTCAAGGGACAAATCATTATTTTGACAGTGCATTTTGTCGATGCGTGCCTGCTGGTACTTTTTAGGGTGGAGGAATGGAGGAGTTCTGATTAGTGGATTTTAGGGTGAAATATGAATGGTTAAAGAGTCCTGAGGTAAATTGGAGTCAGTTATGGCAGTGGCTCAATTCTTGGGGCAATTGTATTGTAAAATAATTAGGGGAGGTGTAGATCAGAAAACATATAATGGTTGAGTGAGGTATGAGCTATTTTGCATAACTGGCTAATAATATTAGGATTAAGGCACTGAGAGGGTTGGAGGGATAGGGTGAACAGAGAGAGAGAATAAATAGTCAAGCCGAGTGTTTACCTAACACAAGGTACAATCAGAACATTTACGTAATTATTTGCATAATTTTTTCGTAACCCCCTTTACACAATAGCTGTGCCATGAGTTCTCATTATAGATTTTGCCGGAGGTTAAAATGAAGTCGGCTGAGGAATTAAAAAAAAATATTGTTTCGCACTAGCAAATATTTTTAATTTTTCGAATACTGAATCACTATTAAAACACCCTATTACTTGGTGTTAATCTCGGTATTCTAATACGTAATTGAATTTTACGAGTGATACAGTTATTTTCAGTGAATATCCACGATTGTATCGATGATAATTATTATTGGAAAGCCCAATTTTTACTCTTACATCCAGTGGGGCTAACTGCCAAAAATATGCGTAGAGAAATTATGGATAAATTTCGTAATGAGAATATATTTTGTATGTTTAATAATGATACAAGAAGAAGTAGGAACTGTAGAATTGGTCGATGCTACGGAACCCAGCGAACACAATGGTGATCTCAAGTCAACGATTCCTGACAGGGGAATTCCTTCGTTAACTAATCCTCTCGACAATTCCAGCTCAAATATCAATGTTAGTAATTAATCCTAATTAACTATTTACCCAACATATAAAATTAATTTTTCTGCACGCGCACTACTAAATTTTATATCTGGGCTTTCATTGAAGTTCTTTTAATTTATATTGAGTATTCATTTTTTATTTATTTATTATTTTAAATGAATGATGAGTAAATAATTACATGTATAATTTTCCCAGTGAAATGATCAATGATAATTCCATGCCATTGGGTGATAAAAAAAATTGCATTAAATAATTTTCAGAAGGAGGAATTCTATACATTGGTTTCGCTGCATGACGGTCTAGTCCTGCACTCAACGAATTCGTTTCAAACTAGCCTTGGCTACCCGAAGGACTCCTGGTTAGGGAATTCTTTCATTGATCTACTTCACCTCAAGGATCGTTCTGTGTTTTGTACAAAACTGTCTGATACGTATTGCTGTGGAGAGCGAGAGAAAGGTTTCATATTTATATCGATAATTATCTCGTCCCGGGAGAATTGATAGATTGAAAAATTGATTGATGATCGTTTTCGCAGACATGAGTGAAAAACAGGTGGGCCTTTTCTGCCGAATTAAGGCGTATTCCAGAGAGAATGGGAAAGAAAAGAAAGATGAGACCAGTTGGGATAATTTATTCCCTGGGGAAAAACGTAGACCCCTGTACGCCCCTTTCCATTTAAATCTTGGCTTCAAGTACTTCCCTGAACATGAAAGCGGTGACGAGAAGCCGAGGATGCTCTTCCTCATGATTATCGGTCAGCCGGTTCTCTCTGCCTACAAGGGTAATCAAAAAATATTCCATAGAGATTGAAAATTCACGCTTAAATATCAGATCAATTGACTCTTGTCGAGTTTTCTCGAAATCTGCGAGACATAGCGAGATTTTTGATAAGATTTTTTTTGTAGTGTCGGTTGAGATCTAGAGAAAAGATTATTATCGAAAATTTGGAATTTCTGGTGGATCTGGAGATATTCATGTTTTATATTTACAATTATATTAATCTGTTCTTAGCACCGGAGGAAACAATAATATCCTCGATATTTTCAACTCGGCATACAGCAACGTGCCACTTGTCCCACGTGGACGACGATATCGTACGATATTTTGGGTATTTACCCCAGGACATGGTCGGACAGTCATTATTTGATTATTATCATCCTGAAGACCTTCCGTTCATAAAAGATGTCTACGAAACTGTAAGCATTTTGTTTTATCAACCGACCGAGAACTCACGCCCAAAGAATTTCCATAGAAAAATCTTGAAACCTAAAAAAAAAGTTGACATATTGAATTATAAATAAAACAATAATTATGATGGACATCGGTTTCTCGATTTTTCAATGAATTTTTTTTTAAGAAATAATCGGAAAAATTTCAGACTGAATGACAGGGGAATGAAGTCTCTAGGATAACTGAAGGAGTAATTGAGATTATTTTTTTTTAATCATTGAATTAATGATTAAATAGGTTGTGAAATTGAAAGGGTCATCTTTCCGGTCGAAACCGTACAGATTTGCTGTGCAAAATGGTGGATACGTTGTTCTTGAGACAGAATGGTCATCATTTATAAATCCATGGGGTGGAAAGCTGGAGTTCGTGACGGGTCAGCATAGAATACTCCGGGGCCCAATGAATCCGGATGTCTTCCAACATCCGGATAAAGACCAGGACAATTCTCTGGCCAACTTGAGTGAAGAGGTACTCAAAGAATCTCAGATCATTCAAGATGAAATCTGTACACTACTTGCAGAGGTAATATCCGTTTTCGTGCTGTATATTTATTTATTTATTTTTATTTATATCAATGATTTATATGATCGTGATTAATCGACGACGAGTAGGTGCAACAATAAATTGTACCTAATCTTTTACTTTTACACGAGCCCGTCTCTCTTTTTTTATTCGTCTTCTGAGCAGACAATTCAACAACGAACGGACTTTGCCGCGCCTTTATTGACGGAGAGAAGAACTGAACTGATATCATTCATGGAGAATGTTATTAACGAGATAAAAGGATCAACAATAACATCGAAGCTCGCATCAATTGCCGCCGACTATGACCGCTTTTCGGTGACTATGAACTTCATCTCCGTATGAATATTATTTCGCTCATTTATTATTCATAAACAATTGCACAAAAAATCGACACTCTAGGGATATTCGATCCTCAATTCCATTAAAAATTTTCCACAATTTTTAGCGCACAAAATTTTTCACTCCCTCCACTAGCTACTATAAATTAATTGATTAATCCGAAATTAATTGATTGTTGAATATTATTAAGGAAAAAAAGGGTAATTTTTAACGACCAGTTTTTTTCATGTACAACCGATTTAAGAGGAGCCGGTGAAATTAAAATTTTCCTGTATTTTCAGTATTAGTTGTATGTTAATTGTTGATGTTGGGAATTTGATTTAATATGCGATATCGAATGGGGGAAACATATCATGAAATCATATGTTTTTTTTAAGGTTCTGTAATATACTGGTGAAGGGATCACGAAATCCCTTGTTTCAGGAACATGACAGTGTGATGCTGGGAGAAATTTCACCGCATCATGAGTACTGCGACAGTAAATCATCAAGTGAAACACCACCGAGCTACAATCAGCTGAATTACAACGAAAAAATTGCCCGATTTTTCAATAGTAAACCACTAGCCAATGCCATGTACGGGAGTGACGAGGAAATCATAAATTCCAGTGTACCGAGTCATAACGACACAGGAAAAACGAATTCCAATCATACACGTAAGATCTTAATGAAATTAATAACATAAACGCACAGTGCTTTCTCTAAAATTTCAAATTGCCATAAGAATTTTCTAGAAAGTTCTAGAAAGAAAGAATATCATTTCTCTAATACTTTCCACACTTGTTATTAAATTAAAATATCATTCTAATTGTGTACATCTGATTGGATTTCAGCAACTAAAAGTACAGCGAATCATGACAGCGGTGGAAGTGGCAGTGGCGAAAATTTGAGTAGCGCGTCAAATAATCGTACGAGTTTTGGTAGCAGAGATGACAGTGTCAACGGCAATAGCAATTCCACGGCCTTGGAAAATTTCAAATTGCCAACGTTAACAGAAGGATTACTCAATCAACACAACCATGACATGGAGAAGCTGATGGTACTAAAGCACAAAGAGCGAAGATCGAGTATAAAGAACAGTAAAATGAACAAAGATAATAGAATAAAGTCAGAAGATCAAGCAACGGACCAAGAGAAAACAGCTGGTAAAACCCGAGGGATGAAACGTGCGAGTACCCACAATCGAGAGGAAGAATTTTTCAAGGTAATCAGGTATTCCATCAACTTATCCATTCGGAATAACAATGATCTTTTTTAATCTCCAGTCATCAAAGTATGACGATAAGACAAGAAAATGCGATCACGCTGGAAGAAATCCTGCGGGTGGTGATAAAACGAATGTCAATCAGCAACAAACAAAGATGAATATGTGGCCACAGACGTCTGTCATCCCTCCGCTGTCAATTAGCCAGCATTACATGACAGCAAGGTACTGGTGAAGGCCCTAACTCTCAATTAAATCTCGGAACGAAAGGAAAGAGCTTGAAAAATGTGTGAATTTTTTATTTTCCAGTGCAACATCCCATCAAGCTCTCAGATGCTCTCCATTTCCCCACATGGTACCACTTTATTACGTGCCTATGCCTAGAATACGAGATTACACTACAACTGTACAATCGAATAATCAATTTCAAATTCCTCAACACATCCGACCAAATCCGTACAGTAAATATTCAATAGATGATTTTTTTATTGCGTGAGGGAGATTTGAGGATCGATTATGAGATGAAATTGTTAATTTTTACTTATCAGGTCCATACGCTACCTCTCCAATGGCAGGAATAGTTTATCCTCCGGTGCTGGGAGCTCCTGCACCAGCTCCAATGATTTATGCACCTCCGATGATTTTGGAAGTGCCTCCAGTACCTTCTGAAAATCCCCAACCGAGACCTGTGGTCTCACCAGTTCGCAGGGATAGAACAGATCAGCGAAAACGTCCAGCAAGTCAAGCAACTAGTGTCAAGGCAGAACCGGGCAGTATTATGGCGATGTCGGATTCCTCGAAGAAGGTATTTCATGTCCCATGAAATTCCAGAATAATTTGCTATAAATAAAAAACAAAATTTCCAACAAAAATCTAATTACACTTTTTCTTAATATCTCTTTTATCAGCCTCTATCTCTAGGAGGCCGTATTTCATCGAGCTTAAGCATTGATGGCGGTGATTCAAGTCCTGTTGGTGCTCAAAATAAAAAAAATGCTGCCCAGAATTCGCCGATCGAGTCGAGTATGGAAGACTCGAGTGATTCAAGTTTTTATGGAAGTTTTTTGAATACAAGCAGTGGAAGTAGCTGCAATCCTCATCCAATGGGACTTGGATATTCGTCGGAGGTGAGGTGTGATATTAGTCAGACTGAAATTACAGGAAAAATAAAAGCAAAATTTCATAAGAATTCATTCAATCGCAGAAAGTAACGCCACGCGTACCCTCCGATCCGTACAAAATCTATCGTCCAAAGAGTTGGCAGCAAGTGAAACAGATATCAAAACAGCGGAGTGCATCGTGGATGGAGGGCATCAATATGACACCGGAATTAATTTATCAGTATCAACTCAGTCCGAAGTCCCTCGATGATGTCCTGAAGAATGATATGAAGATATTAAATCGCTATCCACAACCTTTACTCGTTAATGATCAATTGAGTCAATTGTATTTGGATCTGGAACTTGAGGGCTTCGAGAGCAAACTCATCCTGGATGAGAACAGTCCCTCAAGTGATGGCAATCAGGCCAGTGCCACTGAGGGATCCATCGATGTTTCTACACAGGTGTGATTTTGATGGTGAACTAAATTTTGTATTTTTGGATCATTCGCTCTCACTGGGATCAATTAATTTCAACGTCTTTCTCAAATGAAGTTGCCAAATTCTATTGTTGAATTTTTTTTCAGCACAACCGCATCAGGTGTGAGATGATATACAGTAAACAGGCAATGATCTACGAGGAAAATGCACCATTGCCACCGATTCCAGTACGACTGACTTAATTTATAGAGTATTCACTGGTGAATGACGTACAATTCAGGGAATAAATTGCGGGCAATTTTTTCGGTGGTTTTCCCCTGGGATTATCTGATACTGGGAAATAGATGGAGAATTATTCTTGATTTGCAATTCAGGCGAACGATTATTCCATCGATTCTTGTGCTCACGGCAATGACTGGGAATGACTTTGAAGATAAATCGAATTAGTAAATGCAACTGTCAGCCAATGCCAAGTGGAATATGATAATGTATACGAATTTATAACGAATCGCACAAGTTATTTATCAATCTGATTTGAATTGATTGACGTCTGGTGAGAGAACTCGATTAAAAAAAATAATCTACACAACTCGTGTTCATAAAGTTCGAGTGCTGCCCTTGTTCAATTGCTACGGAGTATTATTATTCGAAAGCTAAGACATTCGCACATTTGAAATTACTATTGACTCTGCAGAGTTAATCAAGTCCATGACAATTCGGCGCTTACGACACGATAAGATTATTCAGTTTTACAGATATTTCTTTTAAAATATTCAGTACTGCGAGACAGATTCTATACTTTTCTACACTCTAGGTACTTTTCTACGTATATTTGTCAGATATTTTTTTGTATCGGCATATACTACTCTGATTTATTAACGTTAGGATATGGAATATAATAATTTTGTGAATGTGGAGGGAATATATGTACCCATATATTTTATGGAGAATCAATAGTATTGATTAAATGATAGGTAAATTAAATCATAGAAGTAGATGATTTCCACGGAAATAAATGGGCATTTCGTATTTCTTGTATCGATATTTGTCGGGACCAACTGGTGAATTAATAATTTATTAAAAACCCGGGGATGAGAGCAGTAATATTTCTCATGAAGGAAATGTTTCTATATCAAATCCATACAAGTGTCGAGAGGAAGAAGGTCGTATTCGACGTGCATTAAACGTTGCAACGATAAGAGATATTCTATCCATAATTTTTATATGATATATACTTATTTTGAACTGAATTACTGTATTTCACTCTAGTCTGTAATAATGGAATGACAAATTCCAAGTGCAATTCTATTTTTTATTCATTTTATGGAAAATATTTAATCGTCTCACGATGAATCTGTACTATAAATCCAATTTAATTACGTACTTTTGTAGATCGTGTCTAATTTATTTCTTTGGACTTTGAAATTATTCGAATTAGATTAAATAACGAGTTTTCCACACGAGCGCTATTTTCAGGTGAACGATTCAGATATTGAAATAGTTAATAGTAGAATAATATCGTGAAGATTTCGGTCTACGATTCCGGAAGAAAATCATAGCCAGAGCCTCAATTACTCACATGCGAGCGCAAAAATGACATCATCCGAACATACCACAGTAGCAAAATGACATTTCATTCGTAATTTATCGGTATGTGTATGACACATTTTTGTACAACTCTGATCATTTAGATTGTATGTTATGTTTAAATAAATCAACCCAATTAATAATGGTATTTTATTTTTTTACAATCAATGTTTTTTCATCGACAATTACGTCACCGTTTCACTTATATGTCCGTCCAGGCGCGTCTGCCCGCTTTGAGGATTCTGCAATAGTAAATTTAATTATCAAACACGGTCATAATTATTTATTTAATATTTCGCTAATTGCGGGAACTTACGTGAACGCGACAGGTTTCTAGATCATCTCCAGTCTTGAGGTATTTACGGATGAATGGAGCTAGGAGCATTGGATCGATTTTTTCTATTCGACTAGATGAAAAAATACTCACTACGAGGGCAACACTCATAGTTACAAGAGCACCAGTGACTGTATACCACAGATAACTCAGACGATAAAGCGCCCAGGGGTCCCTACGACAACATAAATTAAAATGAATCTCCAAAAAATTATTTATTCCAGAAAATTACTCTATATACCCTCTGCTCTTATCGTTGCCACCGAAGACAGAATCTGGGGGCAGAAGCAAAAGATTTTCTGCCTCCTGAAACCAGTAGTTGCAGCCCTCTGTGGTTACCGGTTTCTCCTCAAAGCTGCGGATAATTATTTCATTTAAATTTACATATTTTAACAATCGTAATAATTCAAGTGAGAAGTATGTGAACAATACATTATGTGTCCATTGGCTATTGCTGATTGAGCTGAAAATGTCACCCATCCCATGAATCCCAATCCAGAAAGACCACCGATCAATGCCCCCTGGAAATATCAATTAATTAAAAAATTCTCCATCGAGCGTAAAAATTAATTTCATCTTGATAATTCTCAGTTACTTTTGCATTGACCCACGGTAATAGAATTCCAATGCTAAATATTCCTAAGGAAGGGCCGCTGTGAATTGCACTCATTGTAATCGTAAGCTGCAATTAGAATTGGTAATTATAATTATAAAAAATTGAAATTCCAATGTCACGATTTTATTTTACCTGGAGAACGTGAGTGCCAGCTTTTTCCACAACGAAGACAAGACCCACGCAGATTATTCCGAGTACAACAACTGTTAGTTTCATTAATATATCAGCTGCTCTGACACTGAATGGATTTTTTCTCCAGGGTTTTACGAAGTCCTCTAGAATTACTGCAGCCATAGAATTGAGCCCCGTGGATAATGAGCTGCATACAGAAAAACAGGATATATTTTAATTGTTGATGGATTAATGATTTTCTACCTTAAAGCGGCACTGAAGACTCCCGCGACGAACAGCCCGGGTAATCCTGGAAAGCTGCCTAATATATCCATCACCAATAGCGGTAACAACTGGTCTTTAGCACCAGCTAATTTAGTTGTCAATGGATCGCAGTCGTGGTACCAAGCATAAATTAATAAACCAGAATATCCGCAAATGCCAATGAGAATCATTGCCCCGACGATGAATCCCCACAGTGCACTGCACCCAAAATTTCCAAAATAATTTTAATTCTAATTAATGAGAAATTGCAATCGGTTTAAAATCGTTTGAGTTTTTAATTGAATTTACCGTTTGGCTTCTTTAAGATTGGGTAGCGACATGTAACGTTGCAGCATATTCTGATTAATAGCAGCACTTTGTAACCAGTGAATAAATCCACCGATGACGAGTGCCCAGAGTGTATGGCGGGTTGATGGACTCAAATCCGCACTGCAATTTTGAGTTAATCAGCCATTTGAGAGATACTGAATTTATAAAAATACGTACACCGGAAGTTCAAGGCGTCCGGAGTCTCGATTCCTCTGAATTACGACTCCAAGACCCCCGATATCGATTGTGCCTTTTACAACAATTAACAGCATAGCCCCGAACATAATGAATGTCTGAATAAAATCGGTCCAAACAACTGCGCGCAGTCCTCCCTGATTAAAATAAATTCTCATTGCTTTCAATTTTTTAAATTGCCATATCGATTATTTTTTAAAATACTTACCACACATGTGTAAAAAATACACACGAAGCAGACGAATGGAGTGACTATGTGAACATTGACTCCGGTTACTGTAGAAAAAATCATTCACTTCTCTATTTTTGTAAAATACTTTGCAGTATTTGAGATTGATCATTATAATTAAATATTCTGTAATTACCTTGATTGAATGCCAATGCCGGGACGTAAATGACAATTGGCAGCCAGGTCATCTAAAAATGAAATACGCCTTAATCATGCCTGCCTGATTTATCCCCAGCATTAAAAAAGTGCTTACAATTCCGACTGTAAAGAGTGCTGACCCCAGCAATCGCACTTTCTTATTGAATCTTCTCTCGAGGTACTCGTAAGTGCTCGTAAGTCTCAATTCTTGAAAGACTGGGAGATAAATACTGGACATGGTGAATCCCACGAGAATTATACCGATTCCAATGAACAGATAACTTGTCCCATGTACGTAAATTTCAGTGGGAGTACCGAGGAGGGAAATTCCGGAAATAAAACTAGCAATGAGACTCAAACTAACCGGAAGTGTATTCATATTTCTTCCACCGACCAAGTACTCGTCTTCTCCCGTTGATTTTTTAACGAATCCAAAGTAAATTCCAATGGCTCCACAAGAAACGAGCATTACACTAAAAACCATGTAATCAACGTACCCAAAACTTTGCATAGCACTACTAACTTCGTCGACTGTGGGATGACCGGATACCCAGTTGGTCCCGATAATCTCGTCTGCAGTCATCATCAGAATTTATTAATAATTCCAAATAAAATCGAACGATGCACTCTTGACCAGAGATCTGATACTCATGCTCGTCAGTGCGACACTGTGACACGATATATCATTGCAACGATTTTTTCATTAGTCCCCACAATAGACACAGAAGTGCCATTGTAAAATGTCTCTGTTATGGTCGAGCAAGTGAGTATTGTCACAATTGGATAATATGGCCTAAATTTACCACGTGATGGACAGATCTCTATATTTACTTCTTGAATAGTTTCCTGCTGATACTGATTCATTAGAAGATCACCAAAGCGATCTCTTTCTTCTGGATATCTATTCTACACGAAAGCCTATTTATAGAATTTATTCTCTTAACGATTAAATTATAGGATTTCATTATTAAAATTGCCTCGCATTAAAATTACGTCGGTTTATCAATTCCAGGATTTAGTGGCATGGAATCAAAAGCAATTATCACCGCAAATATTTTTATTTAAACCAAGAATAATTAAGGATTTTGGAAAAAACATTAATTATGAAGTGAATAGAAAAAATCGACCGTTGGGTTTTCAGTTAAAATGGAATTATCCCTCGTAGAATTTGGGAACCTCATCACCGAGGATCAGTCGACGTTCCACACCACTTTCTGTGATAATTCCAAGACGGATTACACCTCCACTGCTTCCATCGCGACTCATAGCCAATGACAAGCCTGAGGGAGAGATTAATAAAAAATAATGAAAAAAGATTATCCAAAGATTGCCATGATTGAGCTATGTGCAATTTAATTATAAAAAATACTTACTGTTGGTGACAAGATTAATGGACTCATCCTTCGTCATATTGGTTTTGTAATTCGCGTCGACGTATCCATAGATGTAAGTGGATCCGGAACCTCCAATGGAAATTGGCTGACGAACACACATTCCACCGATGGGAATGCTGTAAACCTGGCCACCCTTCTGGACATCCCATCCAGCCACCAAAATTCCAGCCATCAGAGAGTCTCGATAATTATAACACATCTCACGAAATACATTAGCTGCTGTTTCCACCAAGGGCTGACACCCCAGTTCCATCCTATCGATTAAATATTCAATAAAACCATTCAGCAACATATTTTCAAACCAATATTCCAATACACTTACTGATGGAATCCTAAATGATATGCAACGATATCAGCGATTGCCTGTGTATCAGCGGCAGAACCAGAACGACAGCAGTAGATATTGTCTGTGATTTTTGTCAGCTTGTCAGCAGTTCTGTTGCTAATATAAGCACTGGAATGGGAAAAAAAAACAAATATTGACACCGTCAAAATGTATGGGGGTGACAAAGAGGAATATCTGTTTACCCGGTGGTAGCTCTGGAATCTGCTCCAATAATTACTCCTCCATTAAACTCCATTGCCATGATAGACGTCTGAAGGGAAAAATAAATTAGGCGACCGGAGAAAGCTGTGATAATTAATTTATAATTTGTGGAGAAAGAGTCTGGGAAATTGAAAGATTGCAGTGTCATTCTAACCTCATACTATTCATTAAATTGTTGGAATAATTACCCCAGTACTGGCTTCTGCCTGCATCCAATCACATCCGGTTGAATAAGAAACTTTTGCATTTTGGGGATGTAGAGTGTTAACGATATTCATCTTGGTTTTTTGATATTCTTTAGGAATTGTAGAGATGACAAAGTGATCAGTGATGTGGTAAACAGTCCGCCTGGTGGATGATTTTGATTGCTCATTGGTTAATGCTCGACCCAAAGAGGATTGACTAAAGTAGAGGCGCAGTTCTGGGGGTTTGAGTGACCCCAGCGGCATCGTAGTACTACACCCCAAGAGAGGGAGGGCGCAACACGCAATGCTGGGGTGTTTTTTTTTTATTAACCAAGTTTTTATTGCAATGCTGGGGTGTCCATCAAATCGACGGGGTGAATTTTATTTTCTGCTGTACGAATGCTTTTTGTTTTTCATTTGTTTAACTGAAATTTAGCCGACTGTAGCACGTACGGAAGGGTGAAACCACATCTTATGGAATTTCAATGAAAAAAATTATTCAATGTATTGAATATATACCACTAATGAATTTATATTTTTAAA